AAAGCACACACACACACACACTGTCCTCAGCTCACATCAGCCTGAAAACAACAGAGAACTCACTTACTAATGCACAGGAACGTTAAAGAAACCTGTGTGGGAACAGTCATTGTTTGCACAATGCTGTTTTGAGGAAACAGTACTGTCGCTTTAAAGGCTTTCAAAATCTAGACAAAATAACCATTTACAAGCTGAACCAAGACCAACGGACACAAAAAGCTTGTAAAAGACAATAAACAGGCAGAAATAGAAACACAGTGTCTCGGTGTTCGCTCAGTGCCTGTGTGAATAACCCTATGGGTGTCATTGTGTTTCAGATGAGGCAAGAAATAAGGATTTGAAAAACTACACAATAGTCAGTGGGATGTCTGAATGACTAGAAGGTCTTAAAGGAATAGTTCTCTCAAAATGAAAATTAATTTATATAATTTACTCAATTTACTTGATGGACCCCATTGATTTCCATAGTAGGGAAAAAAATACTATGGAAGTCAATGGGGTCCATCAACTGTCTGGTTACCGACATTCTTCAAAATATCTTATTTTGTGTTAAATAAAAGAAAGAAATTCATACAGGTTTGAATCAACTTGAGGGTGAGAAAATGATGACAGAAATTTCATTTTGAAGTGAACTATTAATTGTTCTTGGCAGTTTTTTTTTTTTTTTTTAATGAAATAACACTAATAGCCCGCAAACAATAAAATTATGTAAAGTTAAAACATGATAATGTATCATGTATTGGGTCAGATTAATGCCATCTGGTTTAAAAAAAGAAAGCTAATATGAATTTATGTAAGGTCAAAAATCATGCAATGACAATAATGACCAGTAGATGGCTGAAGTGTTCTTTGCTGATACCAAATGTGTAAGAATTCTAGATTTGATGCTTTTAAGTTATACTTTTCCAAAAATACATGTATATATACACACATTCATATGTAATATTCAACACAATTCTAAAATTAGGTCTTGCTACATCCCCTAAAGACGTAAAAAAAAAAAAAAAACTGAAGGGAGGAAAAAAATAAATACATTTATATGTTTTGATGCTTTTGCGTTATTTGCGTTACCCAAGACACTTTAATGGTCACTCGCAAAGCCTTTGTGCAAAACTATATTTAAACAATTCTCAGGACAATTCAATGCTTGTGCGAGAGAATGTAACATTTCTAGAGAGAACGCTCAAGTTTCTTGGAGGAGAGCAATACAGTAGGTCAAATCTGACCATGAAACCATTTTAGTTTGACCACATAGACTCATTACATGAAGTTTTTTTTTTTTTTTTTAAATACTGCATTTCTAAAAATAAAAATACCATATTTTAAACTGCTCTGCTTGAGGAAACCATTAAATACATTTAAATCAATCAGTCTCGGAGGGTTAAATGGGATGAGAGAGTTTTAGCATGCTGACACTCTAAAAACCAAACTCAGTTGTCAACAACAATGACCAAATACTGTAGTTGTTTTTTGGATCCCTGTTCAGCCATAATGACCCATCCCAAAACACCTTCCTACATTAAGGGACTCCACCAGTCACTACTAAGACATAAATATGTTCTGGTGCTTCCTTTCTCAAGAGTGCAGAGCATTTTCAACATTTAGTTGTGTAAAATTCAATCAGACCATAGTAAGCACACTACACAGAGCACTTTAAGATCCTAGCAGGATCTTCTGCCCTTAAAGGAAATGATACTATTCAAATCCAATCAAGAGCTGGTAAAATTCACTCAAAAACATCCTCAAGCAATCTCCAAACCAAACAAACCTCACACCACAAACACACACAACTCATAAAACACAACAAGCCATTATAAAGTTGCCTGAAACACCAGCACAAACACGTGTTGTGAGGAGCACGTATGTGAAATGTGTCTTACTTTGATTTGATAGGGGGGCTCATAGTTCCTGTGAGGGCAGAATCCAGCACACAGTTTGAAAATACTTTTCATGGCTGTACATGTACATCTGTTTACTGCTCATGACCACTGTTCTCATCGTCTGTGCTGGAGCATGACAGCCCCTGCTCCATAACTAAAGCAGGGAAACCCTGTGTGTGTGTGTGTGTGTGTGACATACACCTGTCAATCACTGATCACCTGACCCTTCACTGGGAGGAGTCTGGAGTTTGGCTCTGAGTTTTAAGTAGAATGATATGCAAAATTTTGGAACCAAGTACATATGAAGAGTTCAGATGCAAAAGCCTCTAAATGCCATTTGAAATTTTCTTCTTGAATGATGATTTTTATCAAACTTGTATATTTAAGTTCAGTAATTTCACTTAATTAACAATTAATAGGCAATCATCATTGCCATTTAAGTGAAATCACTGAACTTAAATATACAAGCTTGATAAAAATGATCATTTTAGAAGAAAATTTCAAATGGCATTTAGAGGCTTTTGCATCTGAACTCTTCATATTTTTGCAATATATCAAGAGTTCCAAATTCAGCAATAGTGTGCAACAGTGGAAGTAAAAAAAGTTAAAAATTGATTTTTAATGATAATTTACATTATCATTATATATATATATATATATATATATATATATATATATATATATATATATATATATATATATATATTTTAATGGTATTTAATGGCAGAATTTGTGGTGAAAACTACATTACCCACAATGCTGTGCAGAAAATTCCATCAATCAGAGAGTTGCGGCCAGCAAATCATGCCAAAAAAGCTTGCAGGGTACGGCCCCTCCCATGATGCATTCAAGTTTTTCTCTCCACACTCTCAAAACTACTTAAAACAATATTAAAATAAGAAATGTCATATTTACATGAGCCCTAATATATCATGGCTCAATTTTTCTATTGGCCCAGTCAGACCAGTTGACCAAAACAGTGCTTTAAAGGGGACAAGAACTGAGAAAAAAAAGGTCATCATACTATACCATATTTTCACTGACTGTTCTTAATTTTGTCATTGAGTGTTTTTTAACTTATTTTTATTTTTTGTTTTACCTGTGCACTTGTAGCACTTTGAGATATGTCCTTTGCGTGTAAAGTGCATTACAAATAAAATGTATTATTATTATCATTATAAGAATAGCCTGCAAGTTATAGAACTGAAAAATTCCTTTTTAGTCCAAAAACAGCTTTGGACTAACAAGTCCATAAATCAACGCCTACTTCATCATTGCAACTTTGGCCCCACCCACTGGTGTGTTAGTGAGATGACGAGGAGAGAAGAGCGATACAGGATAACTGGACGAAAAATAACATTACCTTCCTAATCCTAATGCTAGGAATGTGGTTATGTATTTTCCAATAGAGTGCCGAAGTTACGACGTCACTCTGTAGGCCAAAACGCAGAAGTGAGTTAGCATTTTAGCATTACAGTTCCCTCGCTCTAAAGCCTATGGGATTTTTGAATGGGTTTTTGCTAAATCGCCTGAAATAAGGTCCGTGGTGAACAAAGCCTCTAAATATTTTCACGTTTTGATCTATGACATAGAACACACAGTTATAACCGGCTTGTGGTTATTTAAACTTTATTGTGTCTGATTGGGTTTTGTTAAAATCTTTATAAAGGCTTCAAAATGTATACATTTTGGATTAACTTGTGAAGATTATCTTGCTAGACAAAACATGTAAGGGTCACATCCCTTTGTTAAACACGGATCTTATTTTTGGCGATTTTCCAAAAGTCTGTGGGGAAAATGCATTGCTTTTCAACCGAGGGAACCCATGCGCCGCTAGCTTCCGAGTTGTCCTACAAAGTGACGTCATCACTTCGGCACTCTATTGAGCATTATTTATTTGTATTCGGCACATTGCACTGTGCATTCTTCGGTAAAACAGTTGCAATTTCGGTGCAGACTTTGCAAACAGAATTTTACAATATGGACTCGACAGTAATGCCACGACATGTAAATAACTGTGTTAAGTCTAATGCCTGATCTGTGACCAGTGATTTCTGATATGTAATGATTCATGTACAGTCTGATGTTCTTTTTGGCTATGTGTCGGTAAATCAAACCAGTGATTCAACTGTCAACTTGACATTGTTTCTCTAAGAAGGATGAAAATAAACAAAGTTATTTAAACTTTGGCTAACTTATATAGCCTATAGGAAGGGATTGAATGACATTCCCTTGAGCTGTCAATCAAATAACACGAGTTTATCAGTGACTGAGTTCTGGATTCCTGCCAAAACTCACGTTATAATCAGCGAATCTCTTGATTACATTGTGTTTGCACTGTTAGTTATGATGAAAGCATTAAGAATACCTAAATGACTCAATGTTTGGCTAGTTACAGAGCCCGTCTAACGGAGAGCCTTGGCACTTCCTATTAGCCCCGTTGTGTATCATCTTGGTTGCAGTTCCATTAGAATTCCACTGGAGGTGATCGCGGGCGAGTGCAGAATGAATGGTAGTCTATGGGGCTAAACGGCTAAATGTGTCTCTTTCACCTGCTTGTCATTAAATCAAAATAGATTTTATTGTTGATTCCGCAAGTTCAATATAGATTATAAGCCAAAAGTCGAATGAACGAGTACTTATGTCCTTTTGATTTCTTACAGGTTAGGCTGTTGTTGGCCGGAACACGCTAGCATTCTGCTATTGTGTGACGTCATCACATTTTTGAACGGATTTTTAGAACAGATAAGTGAACTTAAAAATGCAATTTTCAGCTGAGTGTATTTTCTTAGCCCTCCCCTTTGAATGCAACTTTAAAATTACTTGACAAAAAATTACATCCTGAGAAAAGTAGATTTCTGGGGGTGAAACCCCATTGACTCCCATTCATTCTGCACTCGACCGTGAGCGCCCCCGCATGGACAGAGACGCGTTACTGCAGCCAGTCCAGAACCCGGAAGTAACCAACCAGTGCCAATTCTCTTCAATTAGACATTCTCTGCTAGTTATCATAACTCCTTCAGCACCTGATGGTAAATGTTCCCCTGTGTGATGTCACAGATCAGGAAAGTCAGTAATGAAGGGTTCCCGTGGTCAGAGGTCAGATCTGTGTGTTTGTACCTTGTCACTGTCCATAGTGTTCTGGGAGGTTCTAGATGCGATGGAGATGGTGTCCGGCTGACTGCTGCCATCTCCCTGACTGTCAGCATCATCTCCAGTGTCCCTGCAACCAAACACACACACACACACACACATAAAAGTCCCGATTAGGCATGTGCCCATAGATGAATACTTTATTGGAAGGGCATGGAAAATGACTCCAAAATTCAAACATTAATAACATCCGTTAGATACAATCTCTCCTTGTTCTTGCTGGAGAACAGGTGAGCCAGGTGACAGCATATTTTAAAGCGACAGTGCAATAGTTATTGTGTAAAGCGAAAGAGTGTAAACTCAATGAATGAAACAATCACATGGCAACTATTTTGGCGAGTTGGTGACTAATTTGTATGAATTCATACAATTTAATTTGCACCTTTTCACAAGATCTAAAAATCTTACATTTTTATTAGGGCTGTGCAAAAGTTAATTGCGATTAATCGCATCCAAAATAAAAGTCTGTGTTTACATATACAGTATATTTGTGTGTGCTGTATATAATTATTTTGTATATATAAATACACACACATGCATATATATGTTTAAGAAAATGTGTTATTCCTATATAAAATATTTATATTTATATAATATAGATTATGTATTTATATATACAGAATTTAAGAGCAAATAATTCTTAAATATATGCATGCATGCATAGGTATTTATATATACAAAATAATTATATACAGCACACACAAATATATTATGTAAAACAGACTTTTATTTTGGATGCGATTAATCGCAATTAACTTTTGCACAGCCCTGTGTGTGCAAAAGTGTGTTGCACAGCCCTTGCACAGCCCTGTGTGGATGTTTTTTACAAATCATATCACACAAATTCATACGAAATCGCCACATTGTAAAAGTTGAGTCCCATTTACAGATTTAGTTTGTTTCTATGATAATATAATGGTTTTTGGACAAACTTTCTGATTTAAGCCCCACTCATATCTGGTTTTATCCAGATAAATATACAAATAGTTTCGCCATTACAATAGATCCAATTACAAATACTGGCTTTGCTGCAAACCCTTAGTCCCTATGTACAATTTTTAACATATGCAGTTTGCATGAAGAGAGACAGTATGGCGAACATATTTCAAATGAACACAAGCCTCCCGCATTGTTATGTATACATTATGATCCATATAAATATTCATGGATGTAGAGTTTTGTCTCAGTCTTTCAACAGATTTTCATTTGTACATTTAGTCACTTCACAGATACAGTACTTGTATCCAAAGCGACATGCAAATGATTTGATAACAACAAACAAAGCTAGATTTACAACTGAGCTGAGAATATGATTATATAAATTAATTTTGTTTCTCCTTTTTTTAGGACTGGTGTATAGTACACAATAATAAAGTGTGCCTGACCTCTTGCTGTTGTTCCGGGGTTTGGCTGGTCTTTTGGGAACGTGGATCGGTTCCTTCAGCGCCCCCTTCAGGTGAATGATTCTCTCCTGGATGACCTCTCGGATGTTTTTAATCCATTCTTGCTTCACCTCAATACTGGACGCCTGAAACAGACACATTCATGCATTTACAACGCAAGATCCGTGTTTAAAATGTAGGACCTGATCTTTGTTCACAAGAAATTTCTCTGACTGGAACATGTTTTACAAATACTAGAGAGCATGATGTACCTTGAGGACAGTCTTGTTGTCAGACGAGGGTGTGCGTCCCACCCAAAGGGCAAATTTACACGGGTCTCCCTCCACATGCTCTGTTACCCCCAATTCAGATGTCTGTAAACACATAAAAACCAGAACATCACACACAGATATTTAAATAAATTCAATGTTGATGGAAAATGTGTTTAAGAGCTGAAAAGTGCAGAGTACATAAAGGGTTAGTTCACCCAATTTTTTTTTATTCTCCCATAATTTACTCACCCTGAAGCCATCCTATGTGTACAGTATATGACGTTCTACTTTCAGCCGAACACAGAGTTATATTAAAAAATATTCTGGCTCTTCTAAGCTTTATAATGGGAGTGAATGGTACCTTTAGTTTTTGAAGCCCAAAAAAGCACATCCATCCCTCATAAAATTGATCCATACGGCTCCCGAAGCGAAGAACAACATCCATATTTATGAATGTATTATCTATAATCACTGGCTTCCGGTAACGGCCGTACGCGAGTTTAGTTCTGACAGAAGAGTGACCTCTGACCCAGCGCATGACGAGTGACCTCTGACCTGTAAGATTTGAGAAATGCCGGGCATTATGGTTGAGGAACGACCACTCCTGAGAAGACAAAGGACCTTCCTGGAAATTAACATTTGACTCTCTCTTGAGAAACTAGCATCCCCGAGTCAATCACCTCACGCATGTTGTCTCTCTCTCAAGCTGAGATCACCAGATTTTCACCCAAAAAGCTATGTGGTTTAGCGTGAATTATCATTACAGTATTATACATGTTTGGTCTCATTTGAAATGTCTCAGTGCGACTGGTACAAATATTTCATTCCCAAAGAAGTAAACCAAAAGGTAATAAAGTTCTCAACGGTTAAGAGATAACTTGCACATAGAGGAGGGGTGGGAGCGACCTCTGAGCGACAGCTTCCTAATATGAACGGGTAAAATAAAGAGTTAAATCGAACAATCAAATGTTTTTCTAAACTATTATATAATAACCAATTGGAAATCTAACCTAAATTCACAGTTGTGATAAAATGGAGTCAGAAAAAAAGCTTAAATGGAATTAAATTACTTTGCCTCGCGGACAGGCAGTAATGCGCAGAGACCTTCACCCGTTCTTTCGGAAACCTCCATTGGGCCGATTTAGACGCACTTACAAACTGACCCGACACATGATGAGTGACCTCTGACCTTAAGCATGACCTCTGATCTTACAGATGACGAGTGACCTCTGACCTGACACATGATGTAGGAGTAGGATAAGCTCAGGTGAGAGTCGACGACCTCTGACCCGACGCATGGCGAGTGACCGATGCAGGAAAAGTGACCTTTGACCTGATGCATGACCTCTGACTGACACATGACGAGTGACCTCTGACCTGACCCATGACCTCTGACCTTACACATGACGAGTTACCTCTGACCTGACGCATGACCTCTGACCGACACCAGAGAATGTCTAATTAAAGAGAATTTGCACTGGCTGGTTACTTCCGGGTTCTGGACTGGCTGCAGTAACGCATCTCTGTCCATGCGGGGGCGCTCACGGTCAAGTGCAGAATGAATGGGAGTCAATGGGGTTTCACCCCCAGAAATCTACTTTTCTCAGGATGTAATTTTTTGTCAAGTAATTTGAAAGTTGCATTCAAAAGGGAGGGCTAAGATAATACACTCAGCTGAAAATTGCATTTTTAAGTTCACTTATCTGTTCTAAAAATCCATTCAAAAATGTGATGACGTCACACAATAGCAGAATGCTAGCGTGTTCCAGCCAACAACGGCCTAACCTGTAAGAAATCAAAAGGACATAAGTACTCGTTCATTCGACTTTTGGCCTATAATCTATATTGAACTTGCGGAATCAACAATAAAATCTATGTTGATTTAATGACAAGCAGGTGAAAGAGACACATTTAGCCGTTTAGCCCCATAGACTCCCATTCATTCTGCTCTCGCCCGCGATCACCTCCAGTGGAATTCTAATGGAACTGCAACCAAGGTGATGCACAATGGGGCTAATAGGAAGTGCCAAGACTCTCCGTTAGACGGGCTCTGCCGACGCATGACTAGTGACCTCTCACCTGACGAGTGACCTCTGACCGATGCAAGAAAAGTGACCTTTGACCTGATGCATGACCTCTGACTGACACATGACAAGTGACCTCTGACCTGAACCATGACTTCTGACCTCTCACCTTACGAGTGACCTCTGACCGATTCAAGAAAAGTGACCTTTGACCTGACGCATGACCTCTGACCGATGCATGACGAGTGACCTCTGACCCGACACATGACCTCTGACCTGATGCATGACGAGTGACCTCTGACACGACACATGACCTCTGACCTGACGCATGACCTCTGACCTGACCCCTGATGTAGGAGAAGCTTAAGCTCAGGTGAGAGTCGACGACCTCTGACCCGACGAATGACGTAGGATGTAGGAGTAGCATAAGCTTTGACGCCTCTCGCGACTATCATCAAGCTCCTCCTACATTTCTCTTTCAAAATTCTCGCTTTAGATTTCAAATATGTGACCGTCGTGTTTTGTTTTTCTCTTTCCTCTGTGCTTTATTAACCCCCTGGAGCCGTATATGGATCACTTTTATGATAGACGCGCTTCTTTTTGGGCTTCAAAATCTAAGGTACCATTCACTCCCATTATAATGCTTGAAAGACCAGGGATATTTATTAATATAACTCTCATTGTGTTTGGCTAAAAGAAGAATGTTGTAATACACCTGGGATGGCTTGAGGGTGAGTCAATTATAGGATAATTTGAATTTTTGGGTGAACAAACCCTTAAAGAGTGAGATAACCTAAGAGTGAACTTAAATGAAAGCAGAACTTTAATAAATGTGTCTGACAAAATTGAAAGCATTTTCTTAGTAAATCTTAAGTAGATGCTTAAATAGTGTTTGTGAGACGATTCCAGATGACCGGAAGAAAACCAAAGGCACATCTGGCTCTGTTCACAGGCATATTGAACACAGCGAGGGGTGACAAGCGCCCCATCTGGTCCGCACACCTGCGCTGGCTGCTTCCAGGTATGTGTGGAAACACTTAACAGACTTACACAATGTGCTAAAACAGATGGGAAATGTAAAACTCAGACATGACTGTGTTCGTGTGTGCACTAACTGACCTTCCCATGGGCCTTTCCTTTCGTTTATGTCATTGAAATAATCTGAAGCAGGACTCATAAGGACCTTTTCATTGACCCCCATCATTTTCATTTCATTTCTAACTTCATTTCTAACTAACATTTCTATATTGCATTTTAAAGTATATTCAAATAGAAAACAGCTAAATAAATTTAATATTTCACAATATTACAATATTTCTGACTCCCGAACCCGAACCGAACCCAAACTTTTGAACGGTAGTGTATATGATGAATGGATGTCAAATGTAGTGAGAACGCATCACTGACGCAAGCAACTGACCATCATCCTTATTGTGAGGCCTGAGTGTGTGATTCTGCGTGTGTTTATGTGTGTGTAGACAGAGTGGTATAACCAATACCAGTAGTTTGTTCTTGTAGATGTATTTGGATCGTCCCGCAGAGTCTTTGATCTCTTTGCTGAAGACGAGGGAGATCTCGAAGAGGAAGAGGTGACGGTCTCGTCCCTTACGGATCAGGGATTTGGGGTCCCACACCTGGAAGGTGTCCTGCAGGATGAGTTCACCCTGAACATCCAGATTCTCATCAAAACCTGACGTGAGACAGAGGTTGAAGGTTTATTTAAGGTTATCAGTAGAAATGACAAATAAGTGTTTGTGTGTGTGGTCCTGGTCCTCACAAAGATAGTAATACCAGTATTTTTGGACCTTGTGGGGACATTTTTTTGGTCCCCATGAGGAAAACTACGGAGCCCCCCTAGTCCCATTTTGGCAAAAAAAATAAATAATTATAACTATCTTGTGGCCTCAAGATACTAACTCGTGGCCTCAAAATACTATCTCGTGGCCTCAAGATAGTAATTTGTGGCCTCAAGATAGTAACTCGTGGCCTCAAGATACTAACTCGTGGCCTCAAAATACTAACTTGTGGCCTCAAGATACTAACTCGTGGCCTCAAGATAGTAATTCGTGGCCTCAAGATAGTAACTCGTGGCCTCAAGATAGTAACTCGTGGCCTCAAGATACTAACTCGTGGCCTCAAGATAGTATCTTGAGGCCACAAGTTACTATCTTGAGGCCACAAGGTAGTTATAATTTTCTTTTTTTTTTGCCAAAGTGGGAATAGGGGGGCTCCGTAGAAAACTGTAAAAATGCAGGATTTTTTCTGTGATGGGTAGGATTAGGGGATAAAAAAATACATGTAATGTCTCCGTAAAACATGAAAACCCAATGTGTGTGTGTGTTCAGTAGTGTTGTACCCTCCAGCATGCTGACGTGCATGGCGTCGTTGGCTCTCTTTGGCACGCTCAGCATGACCTCCAGCCCATCTTTAATTTCACCTTTGCCTTCTTCACAGCAGGACAGCAGCTCCTGTAAGCACACACACTGTACTGCACTGCACACTACACAGTGCACTCAACACCACACCTGATCTTCTCTTCAATGCCTGGAAACACACAGTACCTTGAGCAGCAGCTGGTATTTGGTGATTCTCTGCACAGGTTTGATGAGGTATGATGATATAGAGTTGGTCAGACCGTGTCTCTTCTGGATCTCCTGTTCAGAACAGAAAAGAATCATCATATATTAATAAAGCATAATTCATACACACTGACAACTGCTAAAACGATTCTCTCACAGTGGTGAATGTAACAGTAACATGTGTTCAGTGACTCACTGAGTCAATCTACTGATCCGTGTATAGTGCTCTGTTGAACATGCATGAGGTCATGTCATTTCAAGTAAATTGAATTTCAGGTGATTTTACAAGATAAAAAGAGTTGACTCAACTTAAACATGTGTTCAAAAAATCAACATGCATGTTTCTGATTGGCTACATTGCTCAAAACTGCAGAAACACGTTACAAGTAGAAACCTTTGAAGCCTTTGCCAAATCGGTTTCACCAGTTTGCCATTATCATGGAGGAAACCGATCCTGGATAAAATGTTAAGGATGGCATGCATTGGTTTGAGTGGGAAAATTCCATGCCGGTCTCAAATACGTGGCTCAGTCTATACAATTAGATGAATGATTTAGAAAACGTTTTGCACTTACGTCAAAAAAACTCCCAGCATGCTCCAGGATGAGCTGACTGGAATCTGGTTTGTTTTTGCAGTACGTCACATAAATATTAAACTTGTCAGCCTGAAACACAAACACAATCTTACATTTAGCATGTCTAAGAAAAAGTGATTATTCACAATGTTCATTGACCAATAGCATGTCTGTTATAATTAGATGTCTGTCTCTGATAAAACCATTTAGCTGGTCTGAATATTGGAAATCTTACTTAATAAAGTCTTAATAATTTGTGCATATGGGCAGCAATAAAATAAAATTAAATAAGTGAAAAAATGAACGAATGTATATAAATAAGGTTACATTTTATTTTAAGGTCTTAAAGGGATAGTTCACTTTGAAATTAATTTTTGGTATGTTTTAGCTTACCCCAAGGGCATCCAAGATGTAAGTGTCTTTGTTTCCACTGTATTTTCAATTTTGATATTTTTAGGTCAAACAGTTCTTGTCTGTCAGTCATATAATGGAGGTCTATGGTCACCACCTCAAAGAGCATGCACAGAGAAGTCCAAATTAAACATGATTTAATGACTCATAAATGTAAGTACACATTGATGGCCTAAGACATGAAACGAGCGGTTTGTGTGAGAAAACCAACAGTATTTACATCGTTTTTACCTCATTACCACAGCCACGTCCAAGTGATCTGAGGGCATGGGCACTTTGTTACAAGTTATAAACGATATATAAATACTGTTGGTTTTCTCACACAAACCGCTCGTTTCGTGTCTTAGGCCATCAATGTGTACTTACATTCATGAGTCATTAAATCATGTTTAATTTGGACTTTTCTGTGCATGCTCTTTGAGGTGGTGACCATAGACCTCCATTATACGACTGACCGACAAGGTGCCCTTGAGGTAAGCTAAATCATAGCTTCAAAGTGAACTATCCCTTTAAAGAGAAGCATAAACTATTTCTATTGGCCCCGTCCACACTACTGCGTTTTTGTTTAAAAACGAAGAATTAAAAGGAATACAATCTCCGTCCACACCAGCGTTTTATCTACGTATTAGAATTGATCTCCGTCCACATTAAAACGACTGAAAATGCGGATCAGGTGACCATTCACCAACACCGGGCATGCGTGTGCCGGTGTAAACAGTGGCTGACGAATCAGGGAAGGATACGTCATGACTGATGACACCCAATCATAGAGCCGAGCGTCAGGGGACTTCTCTGTGCATGCTCTTTGAGGTGGTGACCATAGACCTCCATTTTATGACTGACAGACAAGAACGGTTTGACCGAAAAATATCAAAAACTACTGCGGAAACAAAGACACCTACATCTTGGATTGTCCTTGAGGTAAGCTAAAACATACCAAAAATGTTTTTCAAAGTGAACTATCCCTTTAATGTTACAGTCTAGCTATAAGTAGAGACTCTGAGTAATATTAAATAACAAACATACATATTAGGGCTTGGTTTTGATATAGGGTTAGTTGGTTGTAATTATGCACAGTTTACTGTATTTATTTATTTAAATACATGCATACATTCATTCATACATACATACACAGTTTATATACAATTTTCTATAGAAATAAGAAAAAGTTATGTGCACAGCAACATGAATCCTTTCCTGAATGAATCAAATGACATGCATGTGAAAAACACTCACCCATGTAACAAAGCAATGGCCCACGTCCTCGGGTAACTGCTCATAATTGATCAGCTCTTTCAGGAATATACTACAACACAAACAAAACAACATGCAAATTAATCATAAGCACTACATTCCCATATTACATTTGCATATGTATCATTTTAATTGGAAAGCATATTATTCACTTCTTTCATCTGCAAATAAATATGAAAACTGTGTATACGATGATAAAATGCTTGATGAAATAAAATGCATGGCCTAATAATGTCATCAATATTTGATTTAATGAGATAAACTCACTTGTTGTGGAAGTCATAAATCTCCTGAATGTTTCCGAAAATGATGTGCTCTTTATTGGCGATTCCTGGAGGGATTTCCTCGACACCATTGGTCATCTCCCACAAATATGTCTAATAAATAATTAACACAGGAAATGACTGTCAACCATGATTGGAATGCAGTATCTCTATGTACAGTACGTTCACAGTACAGTCAAGACTCCATTCCAGTTTACTCAGTACCAACTGAGAATAAAGCCGAGCCTGATGACCACGGAACTTGGCCAATCAAAACTGAGGTAATTTACATAAGGAAGATTTAGGGCCAGATTTACTAATCACGGTTTGAAATCGCTGGTGTTTCTGACACCAAAAACTACCTTGTAACCAATCAGATCAACGTGTGATCGACAACGAGTGGAGGCGGGGCTCATTTGCATATTCATAGAACTGCAAATACTCAATGAGGCAAGGGTGTATAGTTACATTCAAGATATTTTAAACCGTGAAGAAATATGTTAAATAGATAATTTTGGTGATCAAAGATGAGTTTAAAGGGATAAAATTATTGACTGCAGGGGGACTTTAAATCTAAAGGTCAGAAAAGGGTGATTGAACGATTTATTATTACTAATAGTGTCATTAAGAAAACAGAAACACTTACCTCTAAACATTCATGTATGTCCCTCACATAAGCCTTTTCTGTCTGTAACAGCTCTGCTATAATAAACCTGCAACAAAACAAAGTATATTATGTTTATAATATGGATTATAAGGGTCTGAACTTATGAAGTGTGTGTGGAACTGCTGGCTGGAGGCTGTAGCACCTCATTGCAGTACACGAGATCCAGGGGCGGAGTTCCAGATCTAAGGGGTGGAGATGGGTGTGATTAGGGTAGGGGTGGGGTTAGGGATCAGGGGTGGAGATGGGTAGGATTAGAAGTGGGGTTATGGATTAGGGGCGGAGATGGGTAGGATTAGGGTTGGGTTATGGGTTAGGGGTGGAGATGGGTAGGATTAGGGGTGGGTTAGGGATCAGTGGTGGAGATGGGTAGGATTAGGAGTGGGGTTAAGGATCAGGGGGGCGGAGATGGGTAGGATTAAAGGAACACTCCGACTTTTTGGGACTTTAGCCTATTCACCTTACCCCCCAGAGTTAGATAAGTCCATACTTTTTCATCTCCGTGCGTGCTATAAGTCTGTTTGACGTACCCACCGCTAGCCTAGCTTAGCACAAAGACTGGATGTGAATGGTTGCAGCTTTCATACTAATCCAAATGAGTGGCAAAATAACGCAAACGTTTTCCTATTTACATGTTGTGATTTGTATAGTCACATAATGTACAAATAACAAAGTCAAATGAGACAAAGACATCTTTTAACCGTATAAAACCTGGGAACTATTCTCTGAAGGCGAAGCACTGCTACTTTGACGGCGTAATAACCGCATCACCGGAGACACGCCGTGGTGAGGAGCGGAGAGTTCGCTCGGTGTTTGGGTAACAGAGTCAGCAATTTATAAATAGTAAAAGCGTAGTTTAGAGTCATGGGTTTTCGCTCTATTGTAAATAGCTGCGACTGTAAACAGGGGAGGTAACCATGTTTCACAGAATTCCAACTAAAAACGCTGACTGGATGAAGAAATGGCTAACTTACTCTGGATATTTATCCAAACACACCTAAATAGATTATCAAGGGACATTATGTTTGCTCGGTACATTTCAATGGACGACTATTTTGAAAAAATGGAATTTGCCACACGGACCATAATGTGCTGAAGGATACGGCCATCCCATCGATAGCACAGACAAGACAAGTGGATCACCTGCGGCTGAGGTAAGTGTTATGTTTTTAGATGACCTACTGTAACAGTGCCATTAGCCAGATCTAATGTAACGTTAGTGACACTATTATATGATTAGGGTATGAATATGTTTTTATCTTGATGCGGTGCGGACGCGCTTGGAAAAAAAACGAGCGCGTTCACCGCGTTGAACTTGCACCCTGCGCGCGGCGCGCCAGTAGCCTAAATTTGAAATAACCATGGAAATAACGAACTTGAGCGTGCAAAAGGTTACGATAGGCTGTGAATTCATTGTGCAAAAACAATTTGTGCTATTACTTTCCCCTTATTCTATTCTATAGTAATGCAATTATACTGTATATTATATAAGCTACTGTTGAATACATTTGGTTCAGCTAATAAATTGCATTTAAAATATATTGATTCCTGTAATAATAATTATTTATTCATGTGATATTTATAAAAAAATCTGGGTGCGTTTTTGGTTGGAAATCAATGAAACATGGTACTGTATTACCTGGTCTCCCCTGTTTATTGTCACAGCTCATACAATAAAGCAAACACCCATGATAAACTATGCTTTTCTATCTAACGTTAGTAATTGCTGACTCTTTACTCCAACACTGAGCGAACTCTCTGCTCCTCGTCACGGTGCGTCTCAGGTGATGGTTATCACTCTGCCCAAGTAGCAGTGCTTCGCCTTCAGAAAATATAGTATTTATACGGTTAAAAGATGTCTGTGTCTCATATGGCCTTCATATTTGCACACTCTGTGACTATACAAACCACAACATGTAAATAGGAAAACGTTTGCGTTATTTTGTCACTCATTTGGATTAGTATGAAAGCTGCAACCATTCACATCCAGTCTTTTTGCTAAGCTAGGCTAGCGGTGGGTGCGTCAAACAGACTTATAGCACGCACGGAGATGAAAAAGGTATGTATGGACTTATCTAACTCTGGGGGGTAAGGTGACTAGGCTAAAGTCCCAAAAAGTCGGAGTGTTCCTTTAAGGGTGGGTTAGGGATCAGGGGGTGGAGATGGGTAGGATTAAGGGTGGGGTTAAGGATCAGGGGGTGGAGATGGGTAGGATTAAGGGTGGGGTTAAGGATCAGGGGGGCGGAGATGGGTAGGATTAAGGGTGGGGTTAGGGATCAGGGGTGGAGATGGGTAGGATTAGAAGTGGGGTTATGGATTAGGGGCGGAGATGGGTAGGATTAGGGGTTGGGTTATGGGTTAGGGGGTGGAGATGGGTAGGATTAAGGGTGGGTTAGGGATCAGGGGGTGGAGATGGGTAGGATTAGGGGTGGGGTTAGGGATCAGGGGTGGAGATGGGTAGGATTAGGGGTGGGGTTAGGGATCAAGGGTGGAGATGGGTAGGATTAGGGGTGGGGATAGGCATCAGGGGCCGGAGATGGGTAGGATTAGGGGTGGGGTTAGGGATCAGGGGGTGGAGATGGGTAGGATTAGGGTGGGGTTAGGGATCAGGGGGTGGAGATGGGTAGGATTAGGGGTTGGGTTATGGGTTAGGGGGTGGAGATGGGTAGGATTAAGGGTGGGTTAGGGATCAGGGGGTGGAGATGGGTAGGATTAGGGGTGGGGTTAGGGATCAGGGGTGGAGATGGGTAGGATTAGGGGTGGGGTTAGGGATCAGGGGGTGGAGATGGGTAGGATTAGGGGTGGGGATAGGCATCAGGGGCCGGAGATGGGTAGGATTAGGGGTGGGGTTAGGGATCAGGGGGTGGAGATGGGTAGGATTAGGGGTGGGGTTAGGGATCAGGGGGCGGAGATGGGTAGGATTAAGGGTGGGTTAGGGATCAGGGGGTGGAGATGGGTAGGATTAAGGGTGGGGTTAAGGATCAGGGGGGCGGAGATGGGTAGGATTAAGGGTGGGGTTAGGGATCAGGGGTGGAGATGGGTAGGATTAGAAGTGGGTTATGGATTAGGGGCGGAGATGGGTAGGATTAGGGGTTGGGTTATGGTTAGGGGGTGGAGATGGGTAGGATTAGGGGTGGGGTTAGGGATCAGGGGGTGGAGATGGGTAGGATTAGGGGTGGGGATAGGCATCAGGGGCCGGAGATGGGTAGGATTAGGGGTGGGGTTAGGGATCAGGGGGTGGAGATGGGTAGGATTAGGAGTGGGGTTAAGGATCAGGGGGGCGGAGATGGGTAGGATTAAGGGTGGGTTAGGGATCAGGGGGTGGAGATGGGTAGGATTAAGGGTGGGGTTAAGGATCAGGGGGGCGGAGATGGGTAGGATTAAGGGTGGGGTTAGGGATCAGGGGTGGAGATGGGTAGGATTAGAAGTGGGGTTATGGATTAGGGGCGGAGATGGGTAGGATTAGGGTTGGGTTATGGGTTAGGGGGTGGAGATGGGTAGGATTAGGGGTGGGGTTAGGGATCAGGGGGTGGAGATGGGTAGGATTAGGGGTGGGGATAGGCATCAGGGGCCGGAGATGGGTAGGATTAGGGGTGGGGTTAGGGATCAGGGGGCGGAGATGGGTAGGCTTAGGGGTTGGGTTAGGGATCAGGGGGTGGAGATGGGTAGGATTAGGGGTGGGGTTAGGGATCAGGGGGCAGAGATGGGTAGCCTTAGGGGTTGGGTTAGGGATCAGGGGGCGGAGATGGGTAAGTTTAGGTATATGTAAGGTGGGAGGAGTTGCATCTGGATCAAACTTCTCCCCCTGGTTTTCTTGTTCTGCACTGAGGACCATCTCGCTGGAGGCGGTGTGTGATCACTTACTCTTTCTTCCGGGCTGATTTCCTCTTTTCCTCGTTCACCTCATGGTTAGGGTCACGCAGTTTGACCTCTGGGTCGGTCAGACTGGCTGGGATAATATCCAATTCCAGATCCTTATTATCCTGAAACACACACACAATCAGAAAATAAAATCCACATTAATTATACATTTGAATGAGGTAAAACGTTGTTAGGAAAGTGCAATGAGCCCTGTACAGTTCCAGTACCTCCGAGCTGATGCCCAGCACGCTCTCCAGACTGCAGCGGTATTTGCCCATGCGGAGGGAGAAGTCTCTGTAACGCTTGTCGACCGCCGTCACACACTTCTTCAGCTCCGTAACGTGCATGTGTCCCTTCTCCACGAAGTTATCTGCCAGCTGGATCAGCATCTTCACTTTGTCCTTAGTTTGCTGCATCACACGTGAACATAATGCGTGTCAAGTGTGTGGTTTGACCGTTTATGCGCACCGCTATCATGTAGAGTAACACGATGCATTTCTAAATGTCCCTCAGAGAGAGTTCATGTGGACGTATGCAACGCACATTAGAGACTAACATGAAATGGACGAGAAAGTGGTGAGGGGAAGCGTGTATGTCTCTGTACCTTGGCAGAGATGCGGAATTCCTCATATTCTTTCAGCAGCTCCTGAGATTTCTCCACAGAGTCTCCGGGAGATGTGTGAGTGTTGAGATAGACCTCTCCTGCCTCCTGTATCCACTCTAATGCCTGACACAGACACAGACAAACTCCATCAAATCATGCGATTCAACACACCACACTCAGTCTGTGTCAATGTGAGGTCCGGGATTCAAACACATCAAAACATTCACCAAATCACAAACACATTAGAGACTTGGGGAGTATATTCTAAAAAGTGGATGTCTGAAAAAATTATCTGAATGTGATGAATACATTTCAGAGCTTAATGTTTTTTATTCAAAACTAATATTTTTATAGTTACAATTTATTGAGTAGGTGGTAACACTAAACTATGGAAGCTTGTTTCGGCCCCAGAATTAAAAATTGCAACTTTTTTGTCACAATTCTAACTTGTGATTTTACACAATTGTGAGTTTACATCTCGCAATTTTGACTTTTTTATCTCAGAATTGCATGATATTACAATTGTGAGTAATAAAGTCAGAATTGCGTGATATAAAGTCGCAATTGTGTGTTATAATCAGATATGAAGTCAGAATTGTGAGATATAAACTTGCAATTGCAAGATATAAACTTAAACTCACAATTCTGACGTTTTTCCTCAGAATTTATATCTCGCAATTCTGACTTTATAACACGCAATTGGGAGTATGAGAATGTACTTGGTCTAATATACAACTTATTTGTTACAAAACGTTTTTTAAATAATTTATTTAGGAAATGTTTGGATTTCTTTTTTTTTTTTTTTTTTTATGTTAAGTATGCAGTGTTGTTTTTAGCAGCCCTTTCTTAGTCTTAGTCTTTTGGACGAAAATGCTTTTAAGTTTAAGACACATTTTAGTCACTTATAAACGTAATAGTTTTAGTCAAGTTTTAGTCGACGAAAACACAAAAGGTTTTAGTCAAGTTTTAGTCGACGAAAGCACCAAAAGGTTTCAGTCAAGTTTAATCAATTTTAGTAAAAAAAAAAGTAGTCTTTAACAAATTAATTTAGTTTAAAAAGTAGTGGAAATGGGCTTAGGTTTGACAGATTTAGCAAGTGTTGCAGTTCATAAAACAAGCTAACCTTACAACCTTTGCATAATAAACTAGACTTTCTCATTGATGGAGATGCAGTGCTGCCATTGCCAAGCTGTACTTCATTGTCACATTGGGCAGAAACCTTTTATCCCCATATTTCAAGTTACAGTTTTACCCCTGAATATTAAAAGCTATTTTCACCAGTTATCACAGTAATAAAGGAATAAAAGGAATGGTTTAAAGTTTAAACAGCAAAAACGTTGAGCTACTAGAACATTGTACACAGATAAAGTGGTAACCGTGGAACAATGGTAACAGTTTTACTCCAAAAAAGCCAAGAATAAAAACATTCTTACTTTGGCAATTGTGGCTTTATTTGAGAAATTGCTAAAGTGCAATGAACAACGTAGTATGCAACAATAAGATGCACATTTTTTGTAAACACATTATGTATATAACCCAGTCTATCTTTAACTTGTGCAAACTGCAAAGTTGCAAACATTCCGAAACAAAATAATAAAATAAATATCTAATACTGAGGTGCATTGAACAAAGAATGCATACTTGAATATAAAGTATAAAAACAAACATGACACTTGGAGTGTGTTGAACATAAAAATGAATAAGACAATCCCAGAATAAACACTGTATTTGGTCTTGGTTAGTTCGGTATTTTACACTTAAAGCCCTGTTTTAAAATCGTTTCTGATGAAATAGAACGGTTAAGATTGAAATTTGGACAAATTTCCCCAGATGTTGTCCCCAGAATTTTAGGTTTGTGTGTTAGCACCCACACAATCATTCATAAAATATTTCATTCATCATTCATTAAACATTCGTTTACAAAGACGTCAAACTCACCGAGTGGTCAGGGATGTTCACTGATATGCTCACACAAACATCGCTGCAAAATATGCTACTCTATTGACTTGACTTGGTACAAAAACTACCATTAAACCCTGTGTTGTTGTTGTTGTATGGAATCTGGCGGCCGGTGCTGGGCGCACGCGATAGGAAACGCCAGCATTGCTGATACTTATTTTTAGCTCAATACAGACCGATTTCACGCAAAACAGGCATAAATTACATGCATTGTGAACGTAAGACTTATAATCATTTTCGTTCCGTCTCATCTCGTCAACGAAAACTTGAAAACGTCTCGTCATGTTTTAGTCACCTCAGAGCTATTTTTAGCTAGTCATCGTCGCGTTATCGTCATAAAAAACGGTGCGTTAACGAAATCATTTCGTTATCGTCATCACTGACGAAAACATCACTGTAAGTATGCAAGTTTGTGTCCACCACAGACTAAAAAATAAAACGTTTTTTTTTTTTTTTTTTTTTTTTTCTTGTAGTTGCCAGTTTATATTTCATACACACACACACACATGAGTGCAGTTCAGTGTTGTCACCTGTTTGGCACTGTGTTCAAACACCACATACTGCTGACACTGGTCCAAACGCCGCTTCTTCATGGTCCAGAAATGCAGAACTCTGTTTTCCCTCTGTAACAGTTCATTCAGGATGGCTGTACAAACACATGACAAATGCTTAACATGAATAAACGTATAACTGGACAAATGAAGAGTGTTTTGTGAGAGAAAAGATTACAGATCTGATTCTGACATAATTCAAGAGCAAGCTCTGACCTTTGACCTGTTGCTCAGGTCCACGGGTGTTGGTGGATGACCCCTGAGTGCTGACGTTATTCCGATGGATGTATTTCAGGAAAACCTCAGCATTTCGCCTGGCCAGAGTACATGCCTGAGAAAACACAGATTCAAACCAGACCCTCACATAACAAAAGTCAAAAGTTTAGACGAATTTATTTCTCAGGATCCTAGAAAGCTTTTGATCTAAAGGTTCTTGAATATTAGCTTTGTATACAAATTTAATATATTGTGCCTGCTCTTCTGTAAGATGCAGGAGAAACTTCTGCGATTGTTATTATGAAGTTGATCGACACATCTGGGCTTGTGTGAGCCTGATAAAGAGATTTCTGTTTGTTCTGTAAGAGTAGTGACCTTGAGAAAAGCCTCTTTCTGCTCCAGGTGTTTGCTGATGAGAGGCAGAACATGATCCGTCTCTGCTGAAGATCCCAGTTTATCATGAGCTCCACACCAGTCCTCATCTCGACGGTACTCCTGCTCCAGACTCTCCAGCACACTACACACCTGTGAATAAGGAATTATTATTAGTATTAGTATTTACAGCAGCTGCCCCCAGGATGTGGAATTGTTATATTAGGGAATGTTCCTCCATCAATGATTTCAAAGGGTCACTTAAAAACGTACTTTTTTGCATTAGCGTTCGACTGTCCATGAGTACGTTGATGTAATAGGTCGATGAGTACGTATTGGTGAAATTGGTTTTTATTGAGAGGTCGTGATGTCCATAGAAAGGCGTAGAATTTAACTGGGTAACACTTTATTTCGATAGTCCACTTTAGACATTCTACTAACTATAAGTAACTTTTCAACTACATGTCAACTAACTCTCATTAGAGTATTAGTAGACTCTCTGCTTAATATCTGCTAACACTTTATTTTGTTGGTCCCCCAACAGACATTCAACTGACTATAAGTAACTTGGCGACTACAGGTTAAACGTATTCTCCTAACCTGAACCCTAACAACTAACCATAACCTAACAGTCTACTGACAGTCTACTATAATATATTAATACTCTAATGAGAGTTAGTTGACATGTAATTAAAGACTTACTTATAATTAGTAGAACGTCTAAAGTGACTATCAAAATAAAGTGTAACCTTTAACTGTGATTCACTGATTTTTATTTATTTTTATTTATTTATTTATTTATTTTTTTTATCTTCTGTACAGCATGTTATGTACAGTTTTATTTTATTCTATCGTATGTACAGCACTTTGGTCAACTCCTGTTGTATTATAATGTGATTTATAAATAAATTGAACCTTGAACCTTGAACCTTGAAGTATGCACAGGGTTTGTGAAGATAAGCAGGATTCACAGATTGGGATGTTGTCACTGGCTGGTTGGATATGATATGTCTAAATAGTAAGTGAATGTTTAATACAGTTTGATTAAATTATACAGTATTTATTGTACATTTTTGTTTTATTTAAAATTATATTTACATTATGAGATTATTTCCCAGACTGCTGTTGTAGCAAAATATAGAATATACAGTTTAAAATCATCAAGCGTCCCCTATAGAAGAAGATCACTTTGCATCTCATAGTCAACATAGCTAATAAAATTGAACTCTTTTGAAAAAGAAGTACACGTTAGCAAACTTTTAAAAAAGAGTCCTCAATATAGATATAATAATGCTTTATAAGAATACACGTGTTTTCAGACACTTAAATGCATGCTATTTACAATTACTGTAAATTGATATATATATATATATATATATATATATATATATATATATATATATATATATATATATATATATATATATATATATACAGTGGTGTGAATAAGTGTTTGCCCCCATGCTAAAGTTGCCTAAAAAGAGGAATAAAAAATCATCTTTTGGATATCGATCTTAATGCCTTAATTAGAAAAATGAGGAAAACTCCAACCTTTAAGGACACAAATTTTCTTTGTGAATGAATAATGTATCATACATAAATACATGTTTTTCCTTAAAATACAGGGTGCATAAGTCATTGCCCCCCTATGTTAAATTCCCATAGAGTCAGGCAGATTTTTATTTTTAAAAGCCAGTTATTTCATGGATCCAGGATAATATGCATCCTGATAAAGTTCCCTTGGCCTTTGGAATTAAAATATCCCCACATCATCACACACCTTCCACCACACCTTGAGATGGCATGGGGTACTTTCCATAAGATCATCTTTCATGCAAATCAAACCAGCTATTAGGCTAACTGAAGTAAACCATGCCAATCTCTAGGTGTGGTGGAAGGTGTGTGATGATGTGGGGATATTTTTAATTCCAAAGGCCAAGGAACCTTATCAGGATGCATATTATCCTGGATCCATGAAATAACTGGCTTTTAAAAATAAAAATCTGCCTGACTCTATGGGAATTTAACATAGGGGTGCCCTGACTTGTGCACCCTGTATTTTAAGGAAAAACATTTATTTATTTATGAGACATTATTCATTCACAAAGAAAATTTGTGTTCTTAAAGGTTGGAGTTTTCCTCATTTTTCTAATTAAGGCATTAAGATCAATATCCAAAAGATGATTTTTTATTCCTCTTTTTAGGCAACTTTAGCATGGGGGCAAACACTTATTCACACCACTGTATATATATATATATATATATATATATATATAACTTTTATGTTAGATGTGATTAATCGCGATTAATCACGATTAATTTATTTGCCGGCACTTATTTAAATATATTTTTAATTACACATTTCTAATGTTTCTTTGTAAATATGTTGATTTTAATTAGGGCTGTCAAACAATTAATCGCGATTAATCGCATCCAAAATAAAAGTTTGTGTTTACATAATATATGTGGGTGCACTGTGTATAATTTTGTATATATAAATGCACACACATGCATGTATGTTTAAGAAAAAAAAATATTATTTATATATAAAATATTTATATTTACATATCATATAAATTATATATAAATCTATATACAGTATATACATGAAAATATTTCTTAAATATATACAACCATGTGTGTGTATATATATAATAATTACACTCAGTGCACCCACATATAGTATATAAACACAAAGTTTTATTTTGGATGCGATTAATTGTGATTAATCGTTTGACAGCCCTACTTTTAATGTAACATAAAATAACAGACTACAGTTCAAATCAATATCAAGTACTTTACATGTGTTTAGTATGTTAGTCAACACATCAAAATAATGACAAAATATTCTTGGAACAAAATGATTTAAAATTGTACTTTAAACTTTTAATTTGAGATTATTACAAAGTGCACTTTGTAATGTGTGTACCTAAGAGTTTAGTTTACTTTAAGAGCTACCTAAGTGTGCCTAAGAGTACACATAAGAAACAGGAAGTCATGGAAGTGATTGTCTGCAAGTACAGTATATATATTTTAAAATTTGAAGATCACATTCGATCCAATTAAGCAAGCTTCTTTTTCACAAGGGCAATGTGCCATTAAAACTAATCTTAGGGCACTTGACTGTCACTGTCCAAAAGGGTCATCTTATCGAGTGTTTCTCAGCACCTGTTCTGACGTCTTATAGAAGGCCACGGAGGCGTTGACCAGCTTGAGTCTGTCCTCCATCTTCAGCATGAGCTGCTGCCAGTGTACCGCCACCTTCTCAGCACAGCTGCGGATGGCCTCGGGGTCGAAGTGTCCCGCCTGCAACAGGATCTCAGCCTTCTGCTGCACCTGGAGTGCGCTCTGATGGGTCTTCTGGAGAGAGTTAGCATGGAACAAAGACTGCAGGGAGAGAAAGAGAGAGAGAGAACAAACACCTTAGATCGGAGGATGACAACAAATTCAAAGGATGGTAACTATGATTATGTTTGGTACGACACCTGTCCATTATCATTTCTTTTTCTCTCTCCAGTACCTGTACTATATCACAATATTTATATATTGTGAAACTTTTACTTTTAAAGGGATAGTTCACCCAAACATTAAAATTAGCCCATGATTTACTCACCCTCAAGCCATCCTAGATGTACATTACATTCTTCTTTCAGATGAATACAATAGGAGTTGTATTAAAAAAATGGCTTAAAAAAGGCCTTCTGAAGCGAAACAATGAGATATGTAAGATAAATATTCATATTTAACACGTTACAAAGTAAAATTCTAGCTTCCGGTCAAATGGACACAGTCTACTTACTAAAGCGCAACTTAGACAACCTATAACGTATGAAGTAGTGTAGTGCGTCATGGCGTAGTGTAAATATCAGCAGTACGTCGCATTACTCGCAGAAGTTGTGCTTAGTAAGGCGAATCTGTAAGTTAGTTTGGCTGGAAGCTAGTTATTTTACTTTATAAAGTTTTAAATATTAGTATTTTTCCTACACAAAGCATCAAGTCGCTTCAGATGGCCTTTTTTAAGATATACTTTCATAATGGATTCACTTTTATGATGAACAGATGCACTTTTATGATTGACTAGATACATTTTATGATGGATAGATGCACTTTTATGACGGATAGATGCACTTTTATGATGGATAGATACATTTTATGAAGGATAGATGCACTTTTAAGATGGATAGATACATTTTATGAAGGATAGATGCACTTTTATGATGGATATATACATTTTATGAAGGATAGATGCACTTTTATGATGAATAGATACATTTTATGATGGATAGATACATTTCATGAAGGATAGATGCACTTTTATGATGGATAGATGCACTTTTATGATGGATAGATACATTTTATGAAGGACAGATGCACTTTTATGATGGATATATACATTTTATGAAGGATAGATGCACTTTTATGATGGATAGATGCACTTTTATGATGGATAGATACATTTTATGAAGGACAGATGCACTTTTATGATGGATATATACATTTTATGAAGGATAGATGCACTTTTATGATGAATAGATACATTTTATGATGGATAGATGCACTTTTATGATGGATAGATACATTTCATGAAGGATAGATGCACTTTTATAATGGATAGATGCACTTTTATGATGAATAGATGCACTTTTATGATTGACTAGATAAATTGTATGATATATAGATGCACTTTTATGATGGATAGACACATTTTATGAAGGATAGATGCACTTTTATGATGGATAGATCCACTTCTATGATGGATAGATGCACTTTTATGATGGGTAGATGCACTTTATGATGGATAGATGTACTTTTATGATAGATAGATGCACTTTTATGATGGATAGATGCACTTTTATGATGGACATATGCACTTTTATGACGGATAGATGCACTTTTATTATGGATAGATGCAATTTTATGATAGATAGATGCACTTTTATGATAGATAGATGCACTTTTATGATGAATATATGCACATTTATGATGGATAGATGCACTTTTATGATAGATAGATGCACTTTTATGATGGATAGATGCACTTTTATGATGGATCAATGCAAATTATGATGGATAGATGCACATTATGATGGATAGATGCACTTTTATGATAGACAGATGCACTTTTATGATGGATAGATGCACTTTTATGGACTTCAAAACAGAAACGGCCATTCACTGTCATTATAAAGCCTGGAAGAGCCAGGACATTTTTTGATATATAACTCCGATTGTATTAGTCTGAAAGAAGAAAGTCATATACACCTAGGATGACTTGAGGGTGAGTAAATCATGGGCTAATTTTCATTTTTGGGTGAACTATCCCTTCAAGTCACTACAGTACTATCCAAAGCATAATGTACTTTTGTTCTGTACTTTTACTCGAGTACTTGATTTGTGAACTTCGTCCACCTCTGCTAATTGCTAACATTTATGCTTAAGGATAGATGTAACATAGTGTGGTCATGTGACAACAATGTACAAAAAATCACAGTGCACAATCTTTTTGTATACTAGTATAGAGTACATACTGTGCAGCATGTAGTAAATTATATGTTCCGTTCAGAACATATAATTCAAGAGTACAAAAGGAGGATACCCCTGCCTTTAATTTAATAAACTCTTAAATCACACACATTAAAAGAGACAGATCATTAAAAGTAAACATCTATTAGAGAAGATCATTTGAGCATCTTTAACAGGACATTATCGAGCAGCCCTCCTACCCCAGACTGCTGACAGCTTTAGTGTTTCTACAGCCAAACACAGGTCTGTTTTCTATCTGCTGGCATTGTCATGATGAAGGAAAAAATAAATCTAACTTTAATAGTCAGCAACAGACATTTACAAGCAGAGTCGAGCAGATAGAGCCTTGTCCAAAGCAGGAAACGGAGTCTGATACCAAATCCTGTGATAAATGACATGACTACTGTACTAAGAGCTAGAGACTCATAGCAAATGGGACGTTTAATTCCATTGCTTCACTTTCCTCAAAAAATACCTTAATGCTAAAATTGTAAAGAGAATGAGTATGATTTGTCAGAATATGGTATTTAAATATACTGCGCTGAGGTTACCTAGTGCACTCAAAAGAAAAAGCTGTGAATTGCAGTAAAAACAGTGGATCAGCTCCACTGGGAAGGAGTCTGTGGGTCATAAACCCTTCAGGAGAATGTTATGATCCCTGTGTGAATTTTTATGAATGAACAGTTCTGTTTGAAATATTCTCAGAGTAATCACTTCCATACATCTAGCAGTGTTAACATGTATGCTGAGAGCAAAGAGAAGGAAGCGCATTTCTGTTTTTGACTAAAAGTGAAGAGAGAACAGAGATGTAGATGAATTAGGATGGATTTAGATTGATTGGGACACTTTAAAAATAAAATAAAACTGTTTTTCTATGACAAAGATGAGACAACGATCAGATAACTGACTATTTCAAAATGCATTCTCATTATTTTTGTTAAAAAAGAGCTAAAAAATGTGATTGCTGTACAGCCGCTCTTACGCACGGAAGCGTATCGCATTCACTTGAAGAAAAAAATCTACTCGGTTTTTCTGAATTAACGAGTTAATTATCTCAGAATTACTAAATAATTTTTCATGGAAAAAAGTTTTTTGCTTTTTTTTTAATTAATGAGTTAATTATCTCAGAATTACGAGATAATTTTTCATGAAAAAAAGTTTTTGCTCTGTTTTTCTGAATTAATGAGATTATTATCTCACAATTATGAGATGTGTTTTTCTTGAAAAAACATTTTTTCACTCTGTTTTTCTGAATAATTGAGTTAATTATCTCAGAATTACCAGATCATTTTTCATGGAAAAAAGTTTTTTCTCTGTTTTTCTGAATTAATGAGTTATTATCTCAGAATTACAAGATAATTTTTCATGAAAAAAGTTTTTTTTTTCTCTGTTTTTCTGAATAATGAGTTAATCATCTCAGAATTACCAGATAATTTTTCATGGAAAAAAGTTTTTTGTTCTGTTTTTCTGAAATAATGAGTTATTATCTCACAATTATGAGATGTATTTTTCTTGAAAAAAGGTTTTTGCTCTGTTTCTCTAAATAATGAGTTAATTATCTCAGAATTACCAGATAATTTTTCATGGAAAAAAGTTTTTTCTCTGTTTTTCTGAAATAATGAGTTAATTATCTCAGAATTACAGATGTATTTTTCATGGAAAAAAGGTTTTTTACTCTGTTTTTCTGAATAATGAGTTAATCATCTCAGAATTACCAGATAATTTTTCATGGAAAAAGTTTTTTCTCTGTTTTCTGAATTAATGAGATTATTATCTCACAATTATGAGATATTTTTCTTGAAAAAATTTTTTTGCTCTGTTTTTCTGAATAATGAGTTAATTATCTCAGAATTACCAGATAATTTTTCATGGAAAAAAGTTTTTTCTCTGTTTTTCTGAATTAATGAGATTATTATCTCACAATTATGCGATGTATTTTTCTTGAAAAAACATTTTTTTAACTCTGTTTTTTCTGAATAATTGAGTTAATTATCTCAGAATTACCAGATCATTTTTCATGGAAAAAAAGTTTTTTGCTCTGTTTTCCTGAAATAATGAGTTAATTATCTTAGAATTACAAGATAATTTTTCATGGAAAAAAGGTTTTTGCTCTGTTTTTCTGAATTAATGAGTTAATCATCTCAGAATTACGAGATAATTTTTCATGGAAAAAAGTTTTTTCTCTGTTTTTCTGAATTAATGAGATTATTATCTCACAATTATGAGATGTATTTTTCTTGAAAAACATTTTTTTTTACTCTGTTTTTTCTGAATAATTGAGTTAATTATCTCAGAATTACCAGATAATTTTTCATGGAAAAAAGTTTTTTCTCTGTTTTTCTGAATTAATGAGATTATTATCTCACAATTATGAGATGTATTTTTCTTGAAAAAACATTTTTTCACTCTGTTTTTCTGAATAATTGAGTTAATTATCTCAGAATTACCAGATAATTTTTCATGGAAAAAAGTTTTTTGCTCTGTTTTCCTGAAATAATGAGTTAATTATCTTAGAATTACAAGATAATTTTTCATGGAAAAAAGGTTTTTGCTCTGTTTTTCTGAATTAATGAGATTATTATCTCACAATTATGCGATGTATTTTTCTTGAAAAAACATTTTTTCACTCTGTTTTTCTGAATTAATGAGATTATTATCTCACAATTATGCGATGTATTTTTCTTGAAAAAACATTTTTTCACTCTGTTTTTCTGAATAATTGAGTTAATTATCTCAGAATTACCAGATAATTTTTCATGGAAAAAAGTTTTTTGTTCTGTTTTCCTGAAATAATGAGTTAATTATATTAGAATTACAAGATAATTTTTCATGGAAAAAAGGTTTTTGCTCTGTTTTTCTAAATTAATGAGTTAATCATCTCAGAATTACGAGATAATTTTTCATGGAAAAAAGTTTTTTCTCTGTTTTTCTGAATTAATGAGATTATTATCTCACAATTATGAGATGTATTTTTCTTGAAAAACATTTTTTTTACTCTGTTTTTCTGAATAACTGAGTTAATTATCTCAGAATTACCAGATAATTTTTCATGGAAAAAGTTTTTTGCTCTGTTTTCCTGAAATAATGAGTTAATTATCTTAGAATTACAAGATAATTTTTCATGGAAAAAAGGTTTTTGCTCTGTTTTTCTGAATTAATGAGTTAATTATCTGTTTTCACACGGTTTTCACATTTGTTACAGTGAAATCACAAAACCTAATGCACAACAACAAAAAAAAATGTGGCCTTGATATACAACCACTAATAAACGATCGGTTTTGATGTCTTAGGCCATCAATGTGTACTTACATTTATGAGTCATTAATTCATGTTTAATTTGGACTTCTCAGTGCATGCTCTTTGAAGTGGTGACCATAGACCTCCATTATATGACTGACAGACAAGAACGGTTTGACCTTAAAATATCAAAATTGAAACTACTGCGGAAACAAAGACACCAACATCTTGGATGCCCTTGAGGTAAGCTAAAACATACCAAAAATTAATTTCAAAGTGAACTATCCCAGTTTAAAGCCAAGACTTCATCTAGACCATCTAGGTAAGAACATCCTGATCAAACCTGTCAGAACACAAGTTCAAGATGCATTGACTAGAGCCTGTGTTGTGTGTTTACCTCTATCGCGAGCTGGAACTGTTCATGTTCTCTCTGTAGTTGTTCAGCCTCTGACAGTGAGCTTGCGTTCACCATACTGGCATCCAACATAGACTCGCCGTTACGAATCCAACCCAGGACCTAAACAACAACAAACACAACAAAACCTTCTTTAGCACTGAAACACACAGTATCGATATAACCTTATTCAAAATCTAACCACCATGTATTTTGATTTTGCAATCTTCTGTATGAAATACCAAACTGATATAGCAGTCAAACTAATCTGAATATTGACACCCCTAGTGTTGGGTGATATCCTGAGGAGACTCGGCAGAATTCATGTTTCCCTCTGCTCATTTCTCTCCATTGGCGTTTGTAGCGGCAGACACTTCAGGGCCGTCTCTGGCGACAGCACTTACGCTCCGAATGAGATTAGCTCTGAGAGACACACTGAATCAGCCATCACAGCCGCTTGCATCTCTCTCCATTGATTATCAATCAGAGGAAGTGCCAGTGACAGAGACAAAGAGAGACACATGAGATGAGTGTGTACTAGAGCCCAGGACTGAGATATATCAAGAACGTGAGATGCAGCACTCTTTGCTTCACATAAGTTGTCCAGTATTTTGTCATTTGTAACAACTGGACTAATGAGGTAGCCTGGATGCCAGCCCGAACTCCGCCCACAACATTTTTTGGTCGGGAAGTTCGGTTTGGACTCGATCCATTGAGGAGTAATTATGATCAGGCAAAAAATGTTCGCGCCAATCAAATTGCCAGGGCGGGCTTTATATGATGATGGACAGGTGATCTGCAGGGACGTAATCATCACGTTATCAAAGAGCGCTTGTCAAAGATGACTGCAGCTGGAGAATTGAGATGTATAGATTCCGCTGTCGTGTCTGTTGTAAAATAAATCAACAAAGCAATTAATTTTAATAGACAAACAGAAAACTGCAATCAAGGCATTTGTCGATCGGAAAGATATTCGGCAAAAGTGTCTGACGGTCGCTAATAAGATGGGACGTAATGAAAAGCCTGTGGTCGTTGTGGTTTCTCCTTTAGTCGCACTCATGGCGGACCAAGTAAAAGAAGCAACACTCGTTATTTTACTTCTAAAATAAGTAAGTTCTGTATTTGACAACTGTATGCAAAGTAGTTGACTTACTGCGTTGCTCTGATTGGTTGTAGGCTTACCGACTATCCAATTGAGTGCAGAGTTTCTTTTTTCCTGGTTCGGTTAAGACACGCCTCATAATCAAAGCCCTACGGAGCAGTTTCAGACTCATATTCCGACAAGAATATGAGTATGATGAAGTCAGGCTACCAATGAGGGTGAGTCCTCTGAAAGTGGTGTTATGGGTAAGTGGTCGACCTTGGTCCTGGAGATGCCCCAATAGCACACATTCTGGATGTCTCTAAGGCTCTGTTTACAACTGGCATAAAGATGCGTTTTGGTCGATCGGATCACAAGTAGACGAGGGAGACACATTGCCGTTTACACCTGGTGTTGTAAAAGTCTCTTTTGTCCACTTTCAACCACTTCTGTCCTGATTTCTTCAAGGGGAGAGTCTATTGGTGGGTAAATGTATGCTTTTTAGATCTTTCAATCTAATGGACAGAATAAGCTTATGTAATTTACTTAATTGTAAATATGCTTTTTGTGGCTGTTTGAACACCTTGAACCTCATGAGTGTTAACAGTACGAAAGCAATCCGGTCGAATGGGTTTTCGTCTACCTCTGGAAGTGGTCGAAAGTGGACAAGCTTAAACGGTTTTGGGATATAATTTGCAGCTGTGGTTCTAATATCTGATTGCTCTTTATCCCAAATACCACAGTAACAATATGAAGAAAATAGAAGAGAGCGATACATTTTCATTGATAAAGTTTCACTTCTGTCCCCGATATGTATAAAGATAAGATAATTTGTCTTGCAATACAAGCTCCAACAATTATAACACACACAAACTAAAAACAAAAACATACAGTCATCAATAAAAAGTATACAAAGGTACTTAAATAATATTATGGGTACTCCGCCCTGCAAGAGTGTTCTTCAATAGCCACAAATATATACACATATTAAAATACAAATTCAGCATCGATATTGACAGAGGAACCAAATGAGTGTTTGTATTTGTTCTTCCTGCACTCTGGGACCCTATAGCGTCTCCCAGAGGGCAGGAGTTGATACTGCTGATTCAGCACATGGGAATAATCTTGGGTGATTTCATGAGCCAATCGTACAGTATGTACTTCATGACTTTCAATAAACGACTGTCCCACCAATTTCGAAAAAAAATTCCCAGGAGCCGAAAAATCCTGGCCTTCAAATGAGCTGAGAGGCCCCAAACCACACTGCGCCTCCATACTGCAGAATTCTTCAAATTGTTGACACAAAGAATTGTATAAGCAGGTATACAGACAGATACACTATATGCAAGAGAGTGTTTTACCTGTTTAACCTCAGCCTGTAGGTGGCGCAGCTGCACAACCTGCTCCAGGTGTTTCTGTGTGTGTTCAGCACTCAAGTCCAGCTCATGTTGTTTCTCATGAAGAAACTCCAACAACTCCTGAACTTGAGTGGCCAGATCCACCTCCTTCTCACCGGTCAACTCAATACCTGCATATTAAACACAAATACACACTTCTGTTTATACTCCTGCTGAATCTACAGTATCTATATCGTCTGAGAGAACATGTTCACAGCTCAACACCACTGGGTGGCAGTATGACAGTTAGTTCGAATCCAGTGACGGAAGGGCAGTTTAAGCAAAGGATCATTTACAGTCAGCAAAATAAAGCCCATGTGTGAAGTGATGGTGAGTATAACTACACTGTACTGAAAGTCACTAAAATGAAATGAGTACATTTAACTTAATATTTTTTTTTATATTAACTCAAAAACTGCAATGTATTAAGCAGAACTTAAACCGAATAAGTTATGAATAATCTATTTGTTATTTTAGCTGCAGGAAAAAATATCAATTAAACAATTTAGCATCATTATACAAAAAAAGTCAGAATCAAGTGTATCAGGGAATTAATTAAACATTATTAAATGAGTTAAATATGCAGAACTGCCAGGAAAATAATGTAAACAAAAAAAAAATTATTATTTTTTCAGATTTTGGGGTGAAATATTACGGAGGCGTATTGCATTCACTTGAAGAAAAAAAATCTACTCTGTTTTTCTGAATTAACGAGTTAATTTTTCATGAGAAAAAAAAATTGCTCTGTTTTTCTGAATTAATGAGTTAATTTTTCATGAGAAAAAAAATATTTTGCTCTGTTTTTCTGAATTAACGAGTTAATTTTTCATGGAAATTTTTTTTTTTTTTGCTCTGTTTTTCTGAATTAATTAGTTAATTTTTCATGAGAAAAAAAAAATATTTTGCTCTGTTTTTCTGAATTAATGAGTTAATTTTTCATGGATTTTTTTTTTTTGCTCTGTTTTTCTGAATTAATGAGTTAATTCAGAAAAAACAGAGCAAAAACTTTTTTTCTCACGAAAAATTAACTCATTAATTCAGAAAAACAGAGCAAAAGAATTTTTTCTCATGAAAAATTAACTCATTAACTCAGAAAAACAGAGCAAAAAAAAAATTCTCATGAAAAATTAACTCGTTAATTCAGAAAAACAGAGCAAAAAAAAATTTTCTCATGAAAAATTAACTCATTAATTCAGAAAAACAGAGAAAAATTTTTTTCTCATGAAAAATGAACTCATTAATTCAGAAAAACAGAGTTGATTTTTTTTTTAATGCAATACGCCTCCGTAAAAATATAAACCATAATAGGTTAATTAGTGTTTTTAGCTAGTTCACTGAAATAATAATCCAAATAAATCAATTTGGTCAGTTAATTAACTATTAATTAGAGCGAAAATATAAAATTTGGAAGTTTATTTAACTAAACCAAAGTAATAACTAAATAAAAAAGGACAGTGATATGTTTATAAACCATCTAATAAAGCTTCATTTAGTCATTTTCTATGTTGTCCCAGCAAAATCACACACACACACACCCCTCCATTGGAACATGCAGGCATGTGTGAGAGCTGGTCACAGTAATGTCTGGAACAGACGGTGTCCAAACCTCGAACAGAAGAGTGTCCTCAGCCAAGACCCATATGTGAGACAGAGGGGGGTGAGAGTTGGGTCAGCAGTTTGAGGAGAGGAAGTCTGTTTCCAGTGTTAAAAATATCTTTGCGGCACAGAGCTGGACATTGGGACGATACGAAGATAAAAGCAGAGAGGAAGAGTAATGTGTGTTGAAGACACGGACAGTTGAAGAGATGGGTCACTGACATAAGAGTTGAGTGTTTAGGCTTGATTGCTTTTACTCAATTATTTATATTGAAACGAAAGCTTAACTGAGCGTCATGTGACTGTGGACTGGAGATCACAGCACAGAGGAGTCTGAATCCCATTGGTCCATATTGCTGTGTCTCTGAAGACCGCCATATATTATTGACACACTGTCACCTGACACTCTTTCTGCATCTCGCCATCTATTTCTCTACCAAATCCAACCAGATTTCATGAGAATTTGTGAGAACTGAATGATTATTGCGCGAGTTTGCATTCATTTGCAGATCTGACATGTACAAAAGCGTACGATTTGCAGGTAAAACGTTACCATGAAGGTAAACTAATCACCAGCATGAGTAGAAACATACAAATTAGATTGTATGAATTGTACAAAATAATAGTTTCGCAGCCACTTCACAAAAAACTTTGCCATGAGTGATCAAGAGATCTCTCTAATCCTCTCACAATGTTGTGTTCACTCTATAGTGCACACACAGATACAGGACACTTTGAGAGAGTCTCTTTAAAAATAACTATGACTAATGACAAAGAGTTTTGTGTTGTTGACATGTCTAGAAGACGCTGTTCTCAGCACTGTGAATCCGTTTTGATGCCTAAGGCCGGATTCACATATAGCGCCTAAAAACGCGTAGAAAACGCTGGCCGCGCCGCATTCTCCTTTTTCCAAAGCGCTAGGGTGGTTGCGCTTCGGTTGTTTCTTGTCACATGACCTATTGTGCGCTTATGGTGCGCTTGCGGCATTCTGTAAAGTTGAGATTTTTTATCTCGATGCGGCGCGGACGTGCTTGGAAAAAACGAGCGTGTCGCGCCGCTTCCATTATGAACGCGCATACTGCGCGGCTACATTTGAAATAACGAACTTGAGCGTGCAAAAGACGCGATATGTGAACAGGCCCTAAGGAAACCTCTGGAGATGAAATCCAGATATTGTAATGGATGTTTGGTTTGCAACATGCGCTGTAAGCGGTCGACCAATCACAATAGACTCGGCAGTCTGACCAATCAGAGCAGAGTAGGTTTAGAGAGACTGAATCTTCAAACTAACCGTTTTCAGACTCTTTGAGAAATATGGTGAAAAATGTTCATTTTTTTTACTTACTGGATGCATGTAAACCTTCTGTAAGAGACAAAATAGGTACCTTTAAAATTGCATAATTGGGGCATTGGTAACACTTTAGAATACGGTTCCTTCGTTAATGAATAACTACACAAGAACTAATGAGTAACACAATATTAACAATCTAGTAACTATTATTAACTAACAAGAAACTCTGATTAACGAACTAGTAAGTAATAGCGCACAGACGAAAGTGGTAGTTCACTATTAACTAATCAATAACTACTATTTTTTTTTTAATACTTCCCGGAGAACTACTGAAAAACTGTATTAACAATCTAGTAACTACTAATAACTAAAAGAAATTCTTATTAACGAATTAGTAAGTAACAGCTCACAGATGAAATTGTTACTAGATACTTCTGTGGGAATTACTAATTATTTGGATCCGTATTATAAAGTGAAGATCATTGGAACTAACTAGTAATTACTCAAGTGTTACTACATGATCTAGTCATGATTTGTGCAACCGTTTGAGATTTTTGGTGAACTTTAGTATACTTTTAGAAAATGTCTTTAGTAACACTTGAGTCATTACTAGTTAGTTCCAATGATCTTCACTTTATAATACGAATCCAAATAATTAGTATTTCCCACAGAAGTATCTAGTAACACTTTCATCTGTGAGCTATTACTTACTAATTATTTGGATCCGTATTATAGAGTGAAGATCATTGGAACTAACTAGTAATGACTCAAGTGTTACTACATGATCTAGTCATGATTTGTGCAAACGTTTGAGATTTTTGGTGAACTTTTCATACTTTTTGAAAATGTCTTTAGTAACACTTGAGTCATTACTAGTTAGTTCCAATGATCTTCACTTTATAATACGAATCCAAATAATTAGTAATTCCCACAGAAGTATCTAGTAACACTTTCGTCTGTGCGCTATTACTTACTAATTCGTTAATAAGAGTTTCTTTTAGTTAATAGTAGTTACTAGATTGTTAATACAGTTTTTCAGTAGTTCTCTGGGAAGTATTAAAAAAATAGTAGGCTAGTTATTGATTACTTAATAGTGAACTACCACTTTCGTCTGTGCGCTATTACTTACTAGTTCGTTAATCAGAGTTTCTTGTTAGTTAATAATAGTTACTAGATTGTTAATATTGTGTTACTCATTAGTTCTTGTGTAGTTATTCATTAACGAAGGAACCGTATTCTAAAGTGTCACCAAACCTTCTGTTAGAGACAAAATAGGTACCTTTAAAATTGCATAATAGGGGCACTTTGAAGAATTTTTGTACAGTTGCATTTAGGACATATTGGCGTTTTTTTTTTTTTTTTAAACTTTGTCCATAGGAGGATTTTTGCAGCCCCTGGTAATTTTGTGTGTGCAATATGCATCAGGTAGCCATTAAACAGACTGTGGGCGAGAAACTGGAGGTACCAAGAGTACAACAGCTTGTGACCACCAGCGGTTTAATCTCTGTCAGTTTTTCTCTCTCTCTCTCTCTCTCACCTGAGGCTTGGACCTCCATGATGTACTGGTGCAGGTCTTGACCCTGCTGCATAACCTCATAGGTCATGTTGTTCATGGCCAGCTTTCTCTCTGCGTGCCGCTGGAGTCTCTGTTCGGCCAGACTGGGTTCTTCTGCGCTGAAGTCGTTTACCTGTCGAACCAGGTCCTCATTCCACGCGTCTAACTCTGCTGTTACCTGCAGGACAGGAAGGATAGTTCAACACCTCTGCACCTGGCCTGATGACATTCTCATAGCAGTTATACATCAATCACTTCAGTCATGAGATCTGAAGAATAGTTTATTGAAGATTTTTAAAAATCTCTATTGAGAAAAGTATTGAAACACTATCTAGCATGTGTTCACCTCAATGGTGTACTGCTCAAAGATGCGCAGTTGCAGGAAGATGTCAAGTTTGATCTTCCTCTCGTGGAAAAGTTCCTCCATGTGGCCCTGGGCCTCCTCGAGCTGCTGTAGGACGCCCTCGATGTGAGCGATCGAGCTCGTGTGAGGCATCTTATTACTGCTCATCGCTGAGTCTCTGAGAAACACAGAACTAATGTGTTAAAGGGATAGGAGTTCACTTTGAAATTAATTTTTGATATGTTTTAGCTTACCTCAAGGGCATCCAACATGTAGGTGTCTTTGTTTCCACAGTATTTTCAATTTTGACATTTTTCAGTCAAACCGTTGTTGTCTATCAGTCATACACTGGAGGCAAAGGGGGTCCACCAAAGAGCATGCACAGAGAAGTCCAAATTAAACATGATTTAATGACTCGTAAATGTAAATACACATTGAGTGGTTTGTGTGAGAAAACGAACAGTATTTATATCGTTTTTACCTCGTGTAATCCAAGTGATCTGAATCAGTTGTTCAATGTCCAACTGAACCGAACTGAATCAGTTCAATGTTACGCCGGAAGTGATCGCTTGCGTGTGACGTCACTCAACATTTACACGGAGATTTCAGAAGTTTTACCTTTTAGTAAACATATTTAGATATACCGAAATCGTCTTCCATTGCGGTTTACCGTATATCTAAATATGTTTAGCGAAAGGTAAAACTTCCGAAATCTCTGTATAAACAAAGAGTGACGTAGGCACGCAAGCGATCACTTCCGGCGCATGCGCAGACCGAAGCGCCCGGGCCGTCAGATCATCTTGTCGTGGCTATGATTACAAGAGGTAAAACGATATAAATACTGTTCGTTTTCTCACACAAACCGCTCGTTTCGTGTCTTAGGCCATCAATGTGTACTTACATGTACGAGTCATTAAATCATGTTTAATTTTGACTTCTCTGTGCATGCTCTTTGAGGTGTACCGATTGAGGACCCCCTTCACCTCCAGTGTATGACTGACAGACAACAACGGTTTGACCAAAAAATGTCAAAATTTAAACTACTGTGGAAACAAAGACACCTACATCTTGGATCCCCTTGAGGTAAGCTAAAACATATCAAAAATTAATTTCAAAGTGAACTATCCCTTTAAAGGCCATTGCACACTGATTACGAAATTTTCGGATGCGTATTTTCGTGTTCGTCAGCCTAAAAATTCGTCACGCATAGAAACCTTGCACACCGAGTCCGTTGCGTATTTATTAACCCTTTGCGGGAAAAAACGCTAAAATACCAAATGGATTCGTCAAGCAGTGAGGATGATTTTTGCCCTCCCTCTAATTGAAAAGAGAAGAAAGAGAAAATATTACGTCCATCCAATCCTGAAATTGCGCCGGGAGGAAGGAGAGTTCCTTATCAAGGAGTTGCGAATTTATCCTGAGCGATTCAAAATTTACCTCAGAATGTCAGCGGGACAGTTTGATGCTTTGCTAGCGATTCTGAAGCCACATATTAAAAACAAGACCACCAATTTCCGTGAACCAATCGATTCTGAACGGAGACTGGCAGTGTGTCTGGTATGGACCAGGTATGGACACACACACCCGTGCGCGGCCCGGTGGAAGCGCCGGGCAGACAGAACAGCTAGGCTGTTATTATTGTGTATATATTGTGCCCAAATAATACATCAGTTATCGAATAGGCAGCTCGATCACACCTTATTCGATCCTAAATTTCAATCTGATTAAAAGGGCAGGTTTATTCATTTCATAATCCAATATAGAGAAGAGAACATAAACACTTGATCGAATTGAAAACCGAAACTGAAAGCACGGCGCATATGTGCATGATTTGAGGACAAGCTCCCCCCAGCCCTGAATTGTCAAAAGACCTCTCAAAATGCTGGCTCTGGATGCGAAAAACGCAGAAAATCGAACCCGATCCGATTAATTTTATGACGGACGGAAGTTTCGGAGGCGGTGTGCAAGCGTGACTGACATAACGTGAGGTCGAATTTTTTTTTTTTTACGTGCGAAAATTTCGGATGCGAATTTCGGACTCGGTGTGCAATGGCCTTAAGAGTAGGGTTGGGTATCGTTTGAATTTGAACGATTCTGATTCCGATTCCGATTCCTTGTTTCGATTCCGGTTCCTAACGATTCTCGATTCCGATTCTTTTAAGAGGCAGGGTCAAAAAAGTTTAGCTAACCTTGCTAACCAACGGCCTTTCTGAAGGAAATACTCCTTCTGTAAAAATACTCCTTTTGTCACAAATTTTGCATTTTGCCGAGATTTCGTTATTTTTAGAAAAGTGAAGCCACACTTTGGATCGCCGACGTAAGGCACTCATGTTCGGCTCGCGTGGTTATGCCAACACTTCCAGTAGACACTTCTTCGTTGGTGTTGTTCAGCGGTTTCTTCTTCCGCTCGGCGGACTGTGAATATCGAAACTAGGAATCGAAATGTTAACTTTTGAACGATTCCGGGAAAAACGAAAAGTTAGTCTTGGTTCCAATCGATACTCGATTCTCGATACCCAACCCTACTTAAGAGTGTGAGTAAGGGTTAGTCTAGAACCATTTGCTTATATTAAAGGAATATTCTGGGTAAAGTTTAAAAACAACGTATCTGTGGCATTATTTTAACTCCAGTTTGTAAAATAAAAATTGGAAACACGTTTACACTAGTACACTTACAATTGATGTTTGACAGACTTTACACACACATTTATTTTTTAAATCTCTGGAATTTTCTGTAGGCCTTAATAGAACTTTACACAGATGGCTTTGGTAAGTATTCACACCAGTATTAAGCCAACACATGTCATGTTTTAGTGTTATGGGTGTACATTCAAAACAGTGTTATAGCTGCATACAGTATTTTAAACTCTTATTCAGTGCTGCATACTTGCAATGTAAGAACAAAAGCAGTTCCGGTAATGTTTGTGCCAGGACATTATCCTTTAAGTTTATGTACATTACATTCAACCCTACAACACAACACAATGCAATGCATAATTGAAAACATGATGAACGCAAAAGCCGAATCCCGGACATTTTGGGCGATCTCGAAACACATTTTCGGGCAGACTCATCACGGAGACTCACTAGTAGGGTTGGGTATCGAGAATCGAGTATCGATTGGAATCGGGACTAACTTTTCGTTTTTCCCGGAATCGTTCAAAAGTTAAAATTTCGATTCCTAGTTTCGATATTCACAGTCCACCGAGCGGAAAAAGAAACCGCTGAACAACACCAACGAAGAAGCGTCTACCGGAAGTGTTGGCATAACCGCGCGAGTCGAACATGAGTAGCTTACGTCGGCGGTCCAAAGTGTGGCTTCACTTTTCTAAAAATAACGAAATCTCGGCAAAATGCTAAATTTGTGACAACAGGAGTATTTGTGAGAGGAGTATTTCCTTCAGAAAGGTTTATTTCCTTCAGAAAGACCATTGGTTAGCAAGGTTAGCTAAACTTTTTTGACCCTGCCTCTTAAAAGAATCGGAATCGAGAATCGTTAGGAACCGGAATGGAAACAAGGAATCGGAATCGGAATCAGAATCGTTCAAATTCAAACGATACCCAACCCTACTCACTAGTAGCCTAGACTTGTTGTTTAACTACTGCGAGTGAATTTTGTCTGTGTAATGTAAATACCTGTTATGCAGCATTTTTAAGATTTTGAAAAGTATGTAAAGGTATGAGCTCGTGTTGACACCTGAGCTGTTGCATGAGGTCTTCTCCCTCTTTGATGACGTTGAGTGTGGCCTCCAGTGTGGCCGTCTGCTGCTGCTGAAACTGCTTTATCAGCTCCTGAACCGAATCAACCGAGTCCGAACAAACGTCGTCCAGCAGCTCCTTTTGCAGGTCCTCCATCCACGTCCATAACTAAACCCACACACGCAAACAAACGCACATTAATGCATGCACTTTCAGTGATAAATTCTCACGATGTTTCCTCGTGATATTCCTACTCCATAACTTCAGTGCACTATTACATTTTACGTAATAATCAACATTTATTCCCCACAATGAAGCCAAAACCTGACCCATATACAAGCACAGTAACACACTTAAAAGTTTCTAAACTTCACTACAGACTCAGAGATGGAATGACCTGTCTGCACAGATTATAACTCTCATCTAACAATAATCTGCCCTGAATCCAATATTAGAAAGCAGCCAGAAATGTGTGCTCTCGCTCTCATTTCTCATGCTGCTTCCAATTTTAACATTTCAGTGTAAAAGATTAAATAGTATAGAAATGATTCAGACAGTTCATTAAAACGTAGAACTTAATGATCCCCCAAACACTGGAGTGCCGTGTGGTGTAGTGTTTCAAGGTCAGTGCCGTCAGGTTTCTCAAGTTTATAATCATAAACATGTTTTTGAAAGAAGTCGCTTTATGAATCTTTAATAGTTTTTCAAAAATGTAATTTGAATTTTCTTTCATGATTCTTTGATTAATAGAACTTAAGAACAGATAATCATCATAATACATCATATAATAATGTATAATAATAATAATAATTCACAATATTGCTGTTTTTATCGGTTTTTAATGAAATAAATGCAGCCTTTTGAGCATGAAAGAAAAGCGTTTAAAAAAAAATATTATTTACAGTATACCCTTAATTATTCCAAACTTTTAACAGGGAGCATACTGTTTTGTGTTTTATGTCATACATTCTCACAGTCTTATCCTGTGTCCCAATGTCCATGCTATCCTTCCTTACTATCCATCCTAAATATGAGATTACAGTAAAACTTTAGTATTTTGAAAAGAGTATGCCAAAATTCCCATGATGGTCTACTACACTGTAAAAAATATTTTCAAGATTTGTTATCACAACATATTTTCTTTTGTCAAATCAACTTTATAATAATTTGTTTAGTTGAGATAACTTATTATTTTGAGTTTCTGATGGTTAAATTAATCTCCTTCATTGTATTAACTCACTTTTTCCAGTTCAATCAACTTAAAATTTTAAGGCAACCCAGGTTACTTACTTTTTTAAGTTAAACCAACAATATTTTTTTACAGTGTAGCAATCACAACATATTTTCTTTTATAAAATCAACTTAAATAATTTATTTAGTTCAGATAACATTTAATTTTGAGTTTCTGATGGTTAAATTAATCTCCTTCATTGTATTAATTCACTTTTTCCAGTTAAATGAACTTAAAATTTTAAGGCAACCAGGTAACTTACTTTTTTTAAGTTAAACCATCAATATTTTTTACAGTGTATTTTCTATATATATATATATATATATATATATATATATATATATATATATATTTATTTATTATTATTTTTTATTATTATTATTATTATTTTTATTTTTTATTTTTTTGAAGGCAGAATCCAAAATCACATACTTCCCTACTATATAGTGGTAAAAGCAGTATGTGAAAAAAGAAGAATGTCTGAATTCATAGTATTCATAAAAGAATAGGCAAAAAGTCCCCGGATGACCTAAATCTTCCGGTGAGATTATAAAGTGTGCATATGATGGACACTTTACTATCCCATAAGGCCACGGGAGAGGATTTATGAATGGAGCAGAAGCAATGCAATTGACACTGGTAAATCACATGATAATGTCAACATGAACACCTGGATTACATTCATACTACACACTCACATACTATATAGAACATACTTTCTTAGCGGTCGTGAAGTAATTATTTATTCCAATTAGAAATGACAATTTCATGACTCGTTATCTGGCAATGGAATTAAATAAACAAGGTGCGTTTCAGGAATATTGAAAGTTGGCAAATTGGCAAACACAATGCAAAAATAATAAGAGACAAAATACATATACATAAACAAACAGACATTTACAGAAAATCATGAAACGCATTAGATATGCGTTATTTTGCATAAATGAAATGAAAGAACTGTTAAAACGTTGTTAGCTGTTGTCATGGCAACTTGTGTGTGTCTTGTTTACTACCATGTGGAAGACAATCAAAAACTGATTCGGCATGGTCTCAATAGTGAGGTCATCATCCTCACTATTCTTTCTGGAGGAATAGAATTAATTCTTTTCACAACTAATTCACTTGTGAGAAACAATTCATGGAGCCAATCTTGAAACATGATCAGAGAATATCAGTCACACAGGCATGTTTGATAAACATAAATCTCTTTTTGTAAGACCTTGCAGTGTTTCCACCTTTTGAACGATGATTTGCGATGACCTTTATGATTATTTGATGAGGATTTTCGAGAAAAAAATAAAAACAATCACAGAGGAATTTGTTGATCATAACTGATCATGTCCAGAAACAAAAAAAAAATGCTATAGGAATTCCCATGACTTTTTAAGAACAGTGGTGGAGGAAGTACTGAATCTCAGTACTTACTGTAAGTAAAAGTACAAATAACCAGATAAATATTTACTTTAGTAAAAGTAGAAGTAACACAATGACAACCATACTTAAGTAAAAAGTAAAAAGTACCTGATTTTAAATGTACTTTAAGTATTAAAAGTAAAAGTACTCGCATAACAATTGATTCTCTTAATGACTATTTTCTAATGATTAATAAAACATTTAATCGTAACTCATTCAACCTAATACTCCTATAATGATGTTCAATAATGATGGAAAAAAAATTGTTGTCACCATTTTTGAAACAAGCTTGCAATTAGGCAATATAAACCATGCTTATCCTCCTTACTATATGTTAATAACTATGTTTGGCAGTAAACGCGAATCATTTAAGGTGTAATTCTGAACCTCTTGGCTTGCCATAATCCTAACCAAACGTATATTACCCACGTGCGTTTCCTATGCACGTAAAAACAAATTTTCGCGTATAAATCGCACGATAAACACACTGTGTGCGAGACGCATTTAGTTGATGTATCTATGGCAACCAAACGTCACTGGTGAGACAAACGTGCAACGAACGGATGGTCAGATTACGTTTTGGCAGGGGAAAAACTGATCAGAAAATGTAATGAAAATGTAACAGAAGTTGTAGTGGAGTAGAAAGTATAATAATTGCTGCAAAATGTAACAAAGTAAAAGTAAAAACATATGCACTATTTATTCTACTTAAGTAAAGTAAAGATACGTGAAAAATGTACTTAAGTAAAGTAACAAAGTATTTGTACTTCGTTACATTCCACCACTGTTTAAGAATATAAAATGAATCCCTGACATTGCCAGATTTTCCATGATCGTGGGAACCCTAACTCAGCCAGATGCAAAAAGAGAGACAGTAATGATAAATAAGGCGTTTCCCAATCTACAGCGAGGAGGCTGGTGTGGTTTAACTCGAACATGTTGCAGGCGTAGAGGAGCTCTACAGGAGGATGTGATATTCATGATAGATGATCCCCTCAGCAGGGGTTTGAGACACACTCAGGAATATTACTCGTATTAATCACACACAAGAGCTCTGAACAGCAATGCATATGACAAGTTTTACAATACAGGAAATCGCCCACATTAGGGAAAAGCTAAACAGAATGGATGCATTAAACCAAAACCACACCGCAAAGACAGATATTCCTTACGGAAACAAACACGGCCTACGTGCCTCTTCAATAGTGCATGTCATTTTTTCTTTACGTTTATTTCAAACATAGTCAACATGACATAGCTCTCTTAGGGTGTGTTCACACTTGTAGTTCGGTTCGCTTGCTTTGTTGCTATCTATTTATTGCTCTCGGTCCGCTTGTTTGGTGCACACCAGATCAGATGACAGGGTTCACACTTATTCAAATGATCCGCACTAACAGAACAATCTCATCAGGGTTCGTTTTAATCCAACCAAACATAAACAGAACGAAAAAACCTGACAGTTATAGACAAATATTACGACAGTGACATTTAAAGCTGCAATACCTAAGATTTAGATGCCGCTAGAGGGCGCTACATTCAAAACAACAACAACGGCTTTGCTTGATGACGACGTGGAGAAACGCGGAATGATGGGAACTGTTGTTTTCAACTCCACCGTGGATAAATCAGTCAGACGGGAATCGAAAATTAGTTGTCATGGATGAGGTAAAGTTCGATTTCTATAAACGTTGCGTTTAATGACATGCTTGTTTTTCATTAAACTGAAATAACCGCGCAAGAAAAGTCAGGTTTAAAAGTAAATTAGTTATCACAGATGTTACTGTACGAGTCACTGGACGAAGCTATGGTGGAGAGGGTTTGAAGGGGCAGGTCTCTTGCAAGGATTTGACGTGGCTGGTCCTCCTTGGTAACTTTATAAAAATATACAGTTTCACAAAATTAACGTTAAGGGGGTCGCACACCGGACGAGAAGCTGCAGCGCCGCGTCGCACCACATAATTATTCGAACACATTATTATCTATAAGTGTACACATACCGGCGCCCAGCAACGCCTCAATCAGGACCGTGTTCAAAATCCTGCTGCGCCACAGAGCGCCATTTACACAGTTTTATATAAAATTTTAATTATTTTTGTCTCAAACCGTTGCTAATGGATCCTGACTTCGCCCTATGCTGCAATATGCATTTAGTTTTGCAGTGATTTATAGAAATCAGCTGCTTGAATGACAATAGCTGATGTTATTATTCGATTTTTCAGGTGAGATTCTCAATTCATTCCGTGAACGGATGCTCTGAGGTAAAGTTTTCAGAATGCAAACTCAGCAACGATTGTATTTAATTCTACAGTACAATAACATAGAACAGACATTATCTTCATTTTCTGTCATTAAACATAACAATATTCCTGGCCATACACTGATGAGAAAGTGCGCGTCCGGTGTGCGATGCTGTGGAGTTGTCCTAAACGTGGCGCGGCGCTTCTCGTCCGGTGTGCGACCCCCTTTACAGCCAACAGTTCACATTCCGAGAATAAATGAAAAGAACAATTGTGCTCCATTCCATAACACATTCGCGAAACAAGCTGTCGTTTGTTAGACGCGAAACAAGCTGTCGTTTGATAGACGCTAACGCTAACGCACAACTACCGCATTTGTCCTGGACTACACGTAGTACGAGCGGAAACCGAGGTAAGCGGATATGACGCGATTGACTCGCGACTCCCAGCTCACCCCTGCTCACACGTCCCGTTTCCTTGGTTAAAATCTCAATTTTCTCGCGATTTAAATATTGTTTGAAACATATGGAATATTGTGAGTTATCATCTTTACTAAATGTATAACACTAGCCTTGTGATTTTGGGATATTTTAATGCAAAAATCTTAGGTATTCCACCTTTAACCCGTTCGTAATATTGCTGTAGAAAGATGTTTTATTTCTATGTTTTGAGGCTATTCATGGTCTTTATAGTAATTTGTTTACAGACTGCAGATGAGCAAACAATTTTAAGTATTCTAGATTCCCATGTGTGTTTTCAAAGGGATAGTTCACTTTGAAATTAATTTTTGATTCGTTTTAGCTTACCTGAAGGGCATCCAAGATGTAGGTCTCTTTGTTTCCGCAGTATTTTCAATTTTGATTTTTTTTAGGTCAAACCGTTCTTGTCTGTCAGTCAAAGAATGTAGGACTATGGGGTCCACCCGTGGGTCACCACCTCAAAGTTCTCACAAAAACCACTCGTTTCGTGTCTAAGGCCATCAATGTGTACTTACATTTACGAGTCATTAATTCATGTTTAATTTGGACTTCTCTGTGCATGCTCTTTGAGGTGGTGACCATAGACCTCCATTATATCACTGACAGAGAAGAACGGTTTGACCTAAAAATATCAAAATTTAAAATCCTGTGGAAATAAAGACACCTACATATTGGATGCCCTTGAGGTAAGCTAAAACATATCAAAAATTGATTTCAAAGTGAACTATCCCTTTAAGGTGAATGATAAAACTATTGAAGTATGAGTGAGTGTTCAAACTGTAGAACTGAGGATATTTTTCCTGTCTAGTTTGCTCTCTGTCTAAACCATTTACAGTGGCTAGATTCTCCTCATTTTTAAGTATGTGTATGTGTTCAGCCAGAAATGAAGTGTTTCTGGAGTGCTGCAAAACCTGAGCTCATTCAAGGGCTTGTGTGGTGACCTCTGGAAGCAGGAGCCTCTTTCAGCAGGACGCTCCAGAAACTCTGTGAAACATTGTAAAACTTTGGCCTTCAGGAAAAACTCCTTTTGCCAAGAACCGCTGATGTTAGTCTCAGCTCACATAATTCTGTGTTGAGCTCTTTCAGCCTCAACACACACACACACACACAAAATTGAATGTGCTGTGTATAAACACTACTGTTACACATTTAACCAAACACAAAATCCACACAGTTAACAGATTAAAGAGAGTCTTGCATGTGTATCACTTACCAGAACTACAGTTATTTAATTTATTACATGGTAACACATTATTGAAAACGCACACACATGTTTATATTAGGGCTGTGCAAAAATTAATTGCGATTAATCGCATCCAAAATAAAAGTCTGTGTTTACATAATATATTTGTGTGTGCTGTATATAATTATTTTGTATATATAAATACACACACATGCATGTATATATTTAAGAAAATGTGTTACTCATATATAATATATATTAGATTATGTATTTATATATATATATATATATATATATACTGAATTTAAGCGCAAATAATTCTTAAATATATACATGCATGCATAGGTATTTATATATACAAAATGATTATATACAGCACACACAAATATATTATGTAAACACAGACTTTTATTTTGATGCGATTAATCGCAATTAATTTTTGCACAGTTTAGTTTATATATTATATTTTTGCCTAGTTTTGCCTAGTTTATATATTATATTAGTTTGAGTTTACATAATATATGTGGGTGCACTGTGTATAATTATTTTATATATATTAATACACACACATGCTTGTATATATTTAAGAAATATTTTCATGTATATACGGTAGGTAGATTTATATATAATTTATATTATATATAAATATCAATATTTTATATATAAATGATATTTTTTTTTTCTTAAATATACATGCATGTGTGTGTATTTATATGTATATACAAAATAATTATGCACAGTGCACCCACATATGTAAACACAAACTTTTATTTTGGATGCTATTAATCACGATTAATCGTTTGATAGCCCTAGTTTATATATTTCTATTTACATACTACATTTGAAATACAAAAAATAAGATGTCTTAAAGAGGCCGTATTTGGCCCTTTTACAACGTCTTGACTTTGTTTTGGGGTCTACAAGAATATATTTTTGTGCCTGAAAGTAAAAAAAAGTATTTTCCCCATTATATTCCCCGTTATATTCTCCATTGTTGCAGCTCCTCTCTTCCCAGTCTGTCAGTAACGCTGATCTGACTTTCTGCTTTGTAACTTTGCAGACCATTTTCATGGTCAAACATCAACATTACACACTAAAGAATGTTGAAAAAGTTTTAAAGTTTTATTTTAAAATTGCATTTTAAAATATATAAAAATGTGGGCTTTGCAACGATTAATTGCGATAAATCACATCCAAAATAAAAGTTTGTGTTTACATAATATATGTGTGTGTACGGTGTATAATTATTTTGTATATATATATATACATACATGTATTATATATATATATATATATATATATGAAATATTTGCCTGTATTATATATATATATATATATATATATATATATATATATATATGTATATAATTTACCGTATATTATATATTAATATAAATATTTTATATATAAATAACACATTTTGGATTGCGATTAATCGGTGAAAAGTCCTAATGAAAATAGAAAACATTTATTTGAAATTGTAATAATTTGTACCCAATATTACTATGAATATTTTTATGTACTTTTTATCGAATAATAGTAAACAGCTTTGGTGAGCATTTCAACAATACTAACATTAAACATGACATTTTTCATTATGAAATAAATGTTCCTAGTCTCCATAGAGAGAGAGAGAGAGAGAGAGAGAGAGAGAGAGAGAGAGAGAGAGAGAGAGAGAGAGAGAGAGAGAGAGAGAGAGAGAGAGAGAGAGAGAGAGCTGATTAGAACATCAGAGGCGATCGTGAGAAAACCACATTCCTACAATCCCCATACATCAACAAACCTATAGATCATGGTAGAGCTCCATGAGACAAGCACAGCACCAAACAGCCCCAGAAAGATGGATTGTGCCACTTCACCCTCCCACATAAACGCGGGGTGCATGAAGAGATGGATGTACTGCAGCATTATGTCACATTACTGCGTAATAAATCAATAATAATCACTGCTATTGACTGCTGCAGCAATGGGCCTTAAACATGTAATGAGTTACGTAATGGCAAAAGCATTTAGCTTTTCACACAAGGGTCTGATTGGCAGCTGGAGAGGTAAACAGCATGTTCTTCTAGCACATCTGGCACTGCTCAGCAAAAACCTTGCAGCATTCCTATGTGTGAGTGAGTCTCACCTCTTTAGTGTGCGTGTGGAAGGAGACGGACATGTCCAGCAGTAGTTTTCTTTGCTCCACTCTCCTCACAAAGTCCTGGATCCTGACCTCCAGGTGTCGCGCTGCCTTGTAGATCTCCTCAGGGTCACACTCGCCTGTCTGGGCCAACTGCTCAGCCGCTTCCAGGAGTTTATCTGCATTAGTGTAAGTGTTCTGAAAACACGGAAAAGCTCAATCAATCAATGTTCATTTCAAATGAAGGTTGAGATCCAGATATCGACAAATGTGTTAATTTATATCGCACTGTATATTATATAGATTGATTCAAACAAGAAAATAACCGTCTTCCTGTTGTAAAGTGAATCAATTATGAAACCGATTCGAATTCGAATCTGTAAAGCAGCTCTACGGAAGACAATAGCATCATTATTCTGCTCAAGTTAGTTCATTGTAGGGCTGGGTAATAAATATCGATTTCTCGATATTAATCGATTCTCATTTTTACGAACCGATATCGATTGTTGAATCTCAAGAATCGATTAGTCATCCTGTTTCATTTGAATGAATGGATCATTGTATCGCGGCTGCGTGTATCAAAAAAACTCACAATAATCTTTGTCCTTTGTTACTATTGATATGAAACAAAGTCTCAATTTTCAAATTACGTCCATTTTCTTTAGAAATTCAAAAACATAAATAGCGTTTTGGCGCTGTGGCGTGAGATCGCTCTGGAGAAGCAGCAGCGCTGATCTCTCTTCCGGCTTAATAATACCAGTCACAGCACCAAATAAACATGAATGAGCATCTGAAAGTGTGTTAAAGATAGAGTACAACTTATCGAAATCCGGATCATGTCACATTGATTCGCTCAATCAGCGTTTCAACCGTGGAAAGACGTCAGTTAAACAGCTTGTAATCAATGTCATCGTCATATTTACCTCAGAAAACCCACATAAACTCGTTAGTCAGCTAGAAAAAACAACTCTAGAGAGGAGCATTTTGCTAAATATATACACCATATTATGCATTATAATCTTAATGTTCTTCAATATTTAATGCATATTTGAATAAATCTTGCTAGTGTTTATGACAGCCACCATTTAAATGTTTATATTTCATATAATCTTATTATAAAAATAAATAAAAGTGTAATTTAAGTGTTTGTATAGCTACAAAACAGTTCATTATTACCTTCATATTAGGCTAATGAAGCCTAGTAGGCTACAACTAGACTCCCATAGTTTATAGCATTAGTTAGTAGATTTGATTCCCTTGAGAAAAATGGCCATTTATTGTAACTGATATCCAAAATAATCGATATTGAATCGAATCGTAATCGAAATTGAATCGAATTGCAAGCTTGTGAATCGAAATCGAATCGAATTGTGAAATTTGTCTCAATACCCAGCCCTAGTTCATTGTTGATTCAATTCTGTTCAATTACATTGTACATTTTGCAAAGTTAGGGTCATCATCATAGGGTGTGTTTCACGAAAGCATTATTAGTCAACTAGTATTCCGTCGTTATCAGCATAGATCAAGACAAACGCAAACAGCATCGCAAAGTTGTGTGGTTGGAACGATGATTCTGGACCTGTGGTTAGAAGTACAGTTTCTTGTTTGCATAATTTTATGAACTTCAGGCCAAAACCCACTTCCGGTTTTATCTGGATACAGATAATTTGGGGATTGTAACTGCAACCGATTCATAATTAATTCATACACAAATACACAATATTGCCAAAAGTTTAGGGACGTCTGCCTTTACATGCACATGAACTTTGATGACATCACATTCTTTACCTGTAGGGTTTAATATGGAGTTGGCCCACCCTTTGCAGCTATGAACCCTTTTCAGGGTTTTGGAATGTGTTTATGGGAATTTTGACCATTCTTCTAGAACCGCATTTGTGAGGTCAGGCAGAAGGTCTGGCTCGCAGTCTCCACTCTAATTCACCCCAAAGGTTTTCTATCAGGTTGAGAAAAGAACTGCAGGCCATTCAAGTTCCTCCACACCAATCTCACTCATCCATGTCTTTATGGACCTTGCTTTGTGCAGGAACAAAGTTGGGACCATGAAATAGTCTAATAACATACTAATAGTCTGTTTGGCCCCCTTTCGCCTTCAGAACTGTCTTAATTCTATGTGGCATTGATTCAACAAGGTGCTGAAAGCATTCTTTAGAAATGTTGGCCCATATTGGCACATCCAGGGTACGAAGCTCTTGTTCCACCACATCCCAAAGATGCTCTATTGGGTTGAGATCTGGTGACTGTGGGGCCATTTTAGGACAGTGAACTCATTGTCATGTTCAATGAACCAATTTGAAATGATTTGAGCTTTGTGACATGCTTTATTTAGTTTAATGTGACATTATCCTGCTGGATGTAGCCATCAGAGGATGGGTACATGGTGGCCATAAAGGGATGGACATGGTCAGAAACAATGCTCAGGTAGGCCGTGGCATTTCAACGATGCCCAATTGCCACTAAGGGGCCTAAAGTGTGCCAAGAAAACACACCATTACACCACCACCACCAGCCTGCACAGTGCTAACAAGGCATGATGGATCCATGCTCTCATTCTGTTTACGCCAAATTCTGACTCCACCATCTTAATGTCTCAACAGAAATCGAGACTCATCAGACCAAGCAACATTTTTCTAGTCTTCAACTGTCCAATATTGGTGAGCTCTTGCAAATTGTAGCCTCTTTTTCCTATTTTTAGTTGAGATGAGTGGTACCCGGAGGGGTCTTCTGCTGTTGTAGCCTATCCGCCTCAAGGTTGTGTGTGTTGTGGCTTCACAAATGCTTTGCTGCATACCTCGGTTGTAACGAGTGGTTATTTCAGTCAAAGTTGCTCTTCTATCAGCTTGAATCAGTCGGCCCATTCTCCTCTGAAGGCATTTTCGCCCACAGGACTGCCGCATACTGGATGTTTATCCCTTTTCACACCATTCTTTGTAAACCCTAGAAATGGTTGTGTGTGAAAATTCCAGTAACTGAGCAGATTGTGAAATACTCAGACCGGCCCGTCTGGCACCAACAACCATGCCACGCTCAAAATTGCTTAAATCACCTTTCTTTCCCATTCTGACATTCAGTTTGGAGTTCAGGAGATTGTCTTGACCAGGACCACACCACTAAATGCATTGAAGCAACTGCCATGTGATTGGTTGATTAGATAATTGCATCAATGAGAACTTGAACAGGTGTTCCTAATAATCCTTTAGGTGAGTGTAGTATGTCCTGGTTAAAGACATAAAAAATAAGGAATAAATAGACAATATCCCAACAGAAAGGCAAGCGCACACTGCACAAGCTACCTCAAAAGGCAATCAACTAAATGATTGATTAATTACTCTAATGGTGATAAAACAGTTTTCTCACATGTAAAATTGCATATCCATCTGTAGAACGAATGCAGCCGGTTATCCCAGCCTGGCACAAATCACCCTGTCAGCACGAACCCCATCAGAAGCAGCAGTAATCACGGATTATCACCTTGTGGCCCCAACATAGCCAACAATAGAGGAATAGTGGCCCGCTGGCTGCTGAGACATGAGCATTTTCACCCCAGTCCACACTGTTCCTCACTGTCAGGCATAAGGTAAGATGCTTTAACGAGAGGTCGGATAATTAACATGAGATAATTACATGTGTGTTTACCTGCTGTGACTGGAGAACAAGAACACATTTACAGCTCCAGAGGGCTTCAATCCTTCATTAAACACACAGTTAGGACATTACAAAGCCCTGCGACAGGAAGCAGTGGTGAACACCAAAACACACAGCAGTCCAGCTGTCACATTATGTACGTTTTTACACGAGAGTAACAATGAGCTATTAAAGGAACACTCCGACTTTTTGGGACTTTAGCCTATTCACCTTACCCCCCAGAGTTAGATAAGTCCATACATACCTTTTTCATCTCCGTGCGTGCTATAAGTCTGTTTGACGCACCCACCGCTAGCCTAGCTTAGCAAAAAGACTGGATGTGAATGGTTGCAGCTTTCATACTTTCCAAATGAGTGACAAAATAACGCAAACGTTTTCCTATTTACATGTTGTGGTTTGTATAGTCACAGAGTGTGCAAATATGAAGGCCATATGAGACACAGACATCTTTTAACCGTATAAATACTATATTTTCTGAAGGCGAAGCACTGCTACTTGGGCAGAGTGATAACCATCACCTGAGACGCACCGTGACGAGCAGAGAGTTCGCTCAGTGTTGGAGTAAAGAGTCAGCAATTACTAACGTTAGATAGAAAAGCATAGTTTATCATGGGTGTTTGCTTTATTGTATGAGCTGTGACAATAAACAGGGGAGACCAGGTAATACAGTACCATGTTTCATTGATTTCCAACCAAAAACGCACCCAGATTTTTTTATAAATATCACATGAATAAATAATTATTATTACAGGAATCAATATATTTTAAATGCAATTTATTAGCTGAACCAAATGTATTCAACAGTAGCTTATATAATATACAGTATAATTGCATTACTATAGAATAGAATAAGGGGAAAGTAATAGCACAAATTGTTTTTGCACAATGAATTCACAGCCTATCGTAACCTTTTGCACGCTCAAGTTCGTTATTTCCATGGTTATTTCAAATTTAGGCTACTGGCGCGCCGCGCGCAGGGTGCAAGTTCAACGCGGTGAACGCGCTCGTTTTTTTTCCAAGCGCGTCCGCACCGCATCAAGATAAAAACATATTCATACCCTAATCATATAATAGTGTCACTAACGTTACATTAGATCTGGCTAATGGCACTGTTACAGTAGGTCATCTAAAAACATAACACTTACCTCAGCCGCAGGTGATCCACTTGTCTTGTCTGTGCTATCGATGGGATGGCCGTATCCTTCAGCACATTATGGTCCGTGTGGCAAATTCCATTTTTTCAAAATAGTCGTCCATTGAAATGTACCGAGCAAACATAATGTCCCTTGATAATCTATTTAGGTGTGTTTGGATAAATATCCAGAGTAAGTTAGCCATTTCTTCATCCAGTCAGCGTTTTTAGTTGGAATTCTGTGAAACATGGTTACCTCCCCTGTTTACAGTCGCAGCTATTTACAATAGAGCGAAAACCCATGACTCTAAACTACGCTTTTACTATTTATAAATTGCTGACTCTGTTACCCAAACACCGAGCGAACTCTCCGCTCCTCACCACGGCGTGTCTCCGGTGATGC